ATTGGACATGTGCCCTTTCTGCATTTAGCGATTCAATTGTTTTCATTATCCGACTCATATAAAATGTTAATCTATATATTTTTGAATATAATACAGAACCAATGTATTTTTGTTAAAAATTGTATTGGATTAAAAATGCTTATTTATAACGCGTTTTATTAAAGAAATTACTTATATAATATAATTTTCATTACATTTTCGTTACATAATTCATATGTAATATTGTAATGGAAAAATTTCTCAATTTATGTTTACAACTTTTGTATTTGAACATTTTATTCTTAGGTACATAATTCTTGTAAGAAATCAGTTAGTATATATTTACTTACATAACCATATATACAGTGATCAAATTGGGGGGGAGGGTGCGCAGGGGGACGGAGCTCCTCTACTATTTTTTTTTTTTGCGTATCCCAACTATATTTTTTCACCGGAACGGGGGAACGCCACGTTCATCCTATTGATGTCCAAAATAATTTTTATGTGAATTTAAATTTACGTCAATTGGAAAATGAATTTTACGATTTATAATATCAAAACTAGTTTTATAATTAAAGATTGGTTATGATAAGGGACAACACCGTCATTTCTGGAAAAATATAAATAGTAATGTCTGTGAATTTGGTGTATTATACTTTATACATTGTACGATTTGTTATTAATATTGGCGATCGACGATATCGTCATTTCGGAAAAAAATAAATGCCCTCACCACGACCTTAGACTAATCTTCTAAGGCAGTGGCCCGCACTTAAGAGTAAAAATAGATAAAAACAAAAACCAAATATATGGTTATAACATTCGATTCATTTGCCTGATCGCCTACAATTACCTATGTTAATTATTATTTTATTTTTATTTTCTATTGTAACATATAGGATGTTCGTATTGCTATTAAAATATATTATACTTGGAATTTAAATATTTATTTAGCTGAAAAGTGGTATTGAAAATATATTTAAAGTTGGTGGAGGGGGAAGAAGGACGAAGCCCCCCACGGGTCTGTGTCAAATAATTGCGCACGTGGAACGCAGTTTTCAAATCATTGGACTGAGCTCCTCTACTTAATTTTTCCCAATTCGAGCACTGCATATATATATATATATCACATCCATATACCACATTATATGATGATAAGAGTATATACATACGTTATAATCATAATAATGTACTAGTATCTCGATAAAACTATTTTCAATACCTACCTACCTATAAAAAACATAATATATATATATACATATACTCTTTGGATGTGGAAGGTATACAAAATGTTGTAGTTTTTCATTTTCTAAGCCGTTTAGTATGGATCTGGTTGACAAAATGGTTACAAGCTTCAAACTTATCAGACAGAATATTTTCGTTACCCTCTTGCATAAAGAACTTCTGCAACAAATCAATGCATTTTTTAGCCTCTCTGGCTGTAACTGGTGATTTGGTATCGTCTTTTTCTTCTTCTTCTTCATCTCCCAACTTCCTTTTTTTAAGAACATTTTGTACTACAACATCATAAATGTCTTCATTATTATCAAAATAAGGAGCATTTTCATCAATGTTTTCAAACTAAGTATAGTTTTGAATAAGTAAAAATTGTTCATTCAATTTAGTCAACTCAGAATGTAATTTATTACATCTAATAAAATTTACTCATATCAAAATCCCATGTTTGAATGGTAATTTTTATTACTTTCAATTAACACAATCTCATAGATATGACGAAACTCAATTAAATTAATTGTTTTTAAATACATATGTGTCTAACGCTATGATAAAATAAAATTGTCCACATAAACCGAATCGAGTGCCTATATTACGCGGTTTTATTTAACATTGTTAATATATATTTGTATTGGGACCAAACCTGTTTTTCCACAATAAGTCCATATTAACCGGTGCCCACATTAAACGGAATCCACTGTATAGCCTTAGGCTAATTTCCAGTGACCAAAGACCAATTTAAATGTACCCATTACATATAAAATGTATATTTAATACATCCAAGATTTGGTAGTTGGCTTACTTTATTTTATTTTCTAAATGGCCGTTAAATTATTTCGACCTCAAACGCCAAATGGGACCATCTTGTGAATTATAATATTATTTACGTTGTAGCAAACTCGTGGTATATTAATAAATATATATATATATATAAATATTTTATTCTATATAAGAGATATTTACTTTATTTTGTTAGACTAGCTCAACTAAAAAAAATGAATAGAATAAGAATTTTGAAAACTAATTTGAATTTGTCGTAAAGCCTACTTGAAATAGGTATTTTTTATTTTGTCTCCAAAAATTTCACACAACTAACTAAACAAGTTGGAAACAAAAAAATCAACTGATGTTAATTTGTTGGCAGATAAGTACAACATATAGAAAAAGTAGGAGTATCGACTGATTCCATTACGGCTGTACGACTGTACGACTACTAACTTTACGAGTGATTCCAATACGTTATTAAAATCTTTATTACATAAATTGATCGATCGATGAGTTGGAAATAGATGACGTTTAAATCACAGACTATATGAATATAGTCTGTGTCCAAATCTCTATGATGCGCGTATGATAGAGAAAGATAGAAAATCATGGCTTGATTTCCTTCAATTTTCTTTATTTTAAAATATAGAGGGGAACGTTTGACTCGAATAATATAAATCGTTTTGCCCTCTAGATGTATTTATAAATTTAAAATATTTAAGAGACAAAAAAAATACTAATATTATATTTTTTACTTATATACCAATACCGTAATCGTAATTAATACTACTAATTATATATTAATAATATATAATCAATGACAATGGTAAATTAATAATAAAAAACAGTATTTTTTTAAAATATGAGTATATAACATGCCATTATTAGAGATATTCAAAAATTTATTTTTATAAACCAAGAGCAGAAAGATCCTGGTCCGAACTTATATAAGAGAATGAATTATTATTATTTTTTTTTTTTTTTTATTAGCTTCTAGTAAAAACTATGACAGCTCGACACTTAAAGATAACACAGTTAAACATTAACATAAGAAAACAATAAAAGGTAACAATTGACAAAAATTATAAGTATATAAAAAAAAAAAAAAATTACATTGTATCAATATGGGTGCTTGGATAATAGTGTGAAAAAAAAGTATAAATAACTTAAATTGCAAAGCCAGCTTCCAATAAGAAAATAATTATTTGCTTAATGACCATTTCAGATTGGGTGTTAAGTATTGAAGGAAGATGAGGTGAGACATTAGAAGATTTTAAGTAATTGAACAGTGATAAACGTTTAGTATAAAGTAAAGGACAATGGATTATTATATTAAGTAATTAATTTCGGTTCTTTTTTTTATTTATAAACATTTTATTACTGTAAAAAAATAAAATTTAAATATGCAAGACATTTTACGCCAAAAATGTGTAGTTCTAATACAGCTCATAGTTGTTTACACATAATACACTCGTTCATATTAATAATATTAACGGCAAAGCGTATTATCATTTTAATCCTATTGTGATGACGGTGTTCAGACATAATGTGCCATATGTGAACTTTAGGTACAAGTGTGTTTACGTAAGTATTTTTAACCCTAAATTGTTATCCTTAATTGAACACAATATTGTGTTTGCAAATAGTATAACCATTAAACCTCCCTCCATTAAATACTAAATTAGTTTAACTCTTTAGTGGGTATTTTTCATTATTTTTTTAATCGTATCTGCAGCATGACGTTTACACTAAAAACTGTATCGAATTGTAATAAGTCATATAAAAATTAAAAAGATGTAACATGATTCAGAAACTTCCGGACTGGATGTTTGTAATCATCGATAGATATCATAATTAAATTTGCAAAACGATTTTGGGTGACTGCTAATTGGGTATAAAATCGTTTACTTAAGTACAGAAAATAAAAAATCCGAAAGAATATAAATTAGTTAATATTTGTGAAGTATTATTACAGATGAAATTATGTTTTTACATGATTTTATATTCAGAAACTCAAGAATTACGTTTTTTTCTTTAAAGTTTGAAATTATAAGATTCAAGTTCATTAGGTATATTTCAATAATTATCTAAGAAATCTAAGAATAACTAAAAAACAACACAGGCATCAGTAACTGGCAACAATACTTAGCCATGTCATGTTTCTATAAAATGTTATTTATCTATATTGTAAATATAGCTGGATTTATATGAACATTTATTTTTCATTTTTAATTTAAAAATAAATTTTATTGTATAAATTATATTATTAATTTACAATTATTTAATAATTATTTTAATTATTATAAATTATAAGATGATACATTTAATTAAAATTAAAATAATATTATTTTATTTATGTATAATATACATTCAACATAGTAGGATCTTTTCATTTACCAACAGACAAAACAATGCAGTAAAATATATTATTTTAATTATTAATGTATAAGCTGAGCCAGTACAAAGTAGGCTCCACTTTGCTATTACTATATTTTTCATAGGTATATTTGACCCGATGAACTTAGTATCACCTACAATTTATCCTTCTTTTATATATTTAGCTGACCTCGTGCACATCGTTGTGCGTAAAAATTGTTGTAAGGGTAAGATTATCCCATTTTAATTATTTCTTTTAATTTTACACTGTTTCTTTAAAATAAAATATGATTGTGTGTCATTAAGTAATATGGTTTTTTTTGAAATATTTACTTAAATAAAATTAAAAACCATTTATATTTATTTATTTTATTTAATGAAAATACTTCAGAGTAAATAACATTTCTTGTTCCTTATCGGCCGTACCTTTTTTAATAACACAATTGAGAATGTTTTTACCAACCAACTTTTATGCGATATTGCCACAACAATAATAAATACAAAATATAAATAAAATATACAGATATCAATTATTCATCAGTTAAAAAAAAAAAATACACAATATTTATATTTATGTATAAAATATTTTATTTATTTGTCAGTTTAAGATAAAAAATACAATATATTTATATTTAACTGTCAGCTTAAGATTAAAATAAAAAATTTATATTTATATACAATTTAATTTTTTTTCCCAAGTATTTATTTCCAGTTAATTTTAGATACCTTATAATGTCCTTAGTTTGTTAACTCTTTATATACATTAATTATTGAAATAATACGATCATAATCTTTGCTGGCCATTATTTTGATAATATTGTTTTCAATTGACTTCATTATTGATACGGTTTGCGTTTGGGTTTCCTCTAAAACAGAAATTACTAGGAGGAAGCGTACTATAAAATTGCCTGTTGTAAGTTCTGTGGAAACTTTCTGTTGCATTGGTGGTTCTTAAAAATAAAATAATAATTTACAACAAATATGTAGACCAAATAATAGCAGATAAATATAATATTATAAAAAATACCTATAGTACCTATTAATAAAATATTAAGTTACTATGTTATAGTATATTAGGTACCTTTGATTTAATGTTGGAACTTGTACCAAAAGAATAGGTGGTCATAGCGAATCATGTTCAATGTATGTGTTTAACACGTAATCCGAAAATAAACTCCCAACTTCTAAGTCTGGATATATTGCCATAAGTTGTATAAATGCATTATCAACATCAATGGGAAGAAGAAAAGGCAAACCAAAAAATAATTTAAGCCATTGACCTAATTTATCATTGTTGTCTTTATATGCACTTCTTAATGTTGATTCTCTGTTTATCTGTCATAAAGATAATATAAAATATATTATACATTATTAATTAGAGTAAAAAATAAAGGACTCTAAATCTAAAATTATTCTTATTTCTTACTTTTCTCCACCAAACTTGGGCTAAATGAAAACGGCAAGTTTCAATAATGACATTTGGAAATATTTCTTTGACTGCTTCGTAAGCACCGATTTCGAAGTCCAAATGCAGCTTTTGAATGTTAAGAGCTGGACATATTTGCAAAAGATACTTCCACATTTTAATGTAAATTTGTTTTGTTTTGGTTGGTAAAAAAAAATGAACAATAGGCACATAAAAACCATTTACGTATGTGTGTAATATATATAACTGTGAAAAAAATGTTGGTGCAAAATCATAAGTACCATCTCCAAACAATTAAATTTGTTTCGACATAAAATTTAAATTTTGGCATGTTGTTATACAAACGAAGTCATTGGTTTCAGGAACAAAAACAAATTGATCACCTTTAAATAAACATAAATCGTTATTTTGCATATTCTTCAATTAGGATATAACTTCATTTAAAGAAGTATGGTAAATTGTGTATTGTTTTCTCTTCTTGTCATAAATTGCTTTTCGCACTAATGTAATATCATCGTGCGTAATATTTGATAAGTCACTATTTAGTAACTCAGTTCTAATAATTTTTAAAAGTCTTGTAGATGTATTATATTTAACTTTTCGCTTAGAATTTTCTCTTAAAATCTGTCTTTCAATTTTTTAATTAGTATTACTTACATGATTTACATGTTCACCATTTGACGAATGAAACGTTTTATCCATTTTCGTTAATAAACTGGCACTACAGCGGTTATTGGAACATTTCCATTTCATTAATCCGTCTTTGCGTTGTCTTGCAAATTAATATTTATCATTATTTAATACTGCAAGATCTTTTCCGCATTCACACGTTAAAATTTTAAAGTTTTCCATAACACATAATATTACACTATATTACATTGTTACCACGTTGTCCACCTAACTGAATTTGGCGTAAACTATCTATAAATACGTAAACCGCGATATCATATTTATTATCTTTATTATTAAACATTAAGATATATGACAATGAAAGACAATCAAACTTACCGCCTGTTAAATGTGTGATGTGTTTCACATTTTCCACACTGGTTCAGCCCGAGTCATAATTAAAGACCGGATTTAATTGGACATTATAAAAATTCAAAAGCTAGATAAAAAATTAGATGAATGTTACTTTTTTGAATTAAAATTGATAATTAAATACAATTCTAATGTATAGACATAACACATAAAGTACTATAAATATATCGACTATACATTTCATGAGATTTGGTATATAGCAAAAAAAAATTGCAATATGAATTAAATCCGGTCTTTAGTCAAAATATACTATTACACGTGCAATCGTACTCGACCCGTTATTATAATAAATTGATTTTCCGTTTTACCCGTTCTTGATAATTTATATTAATCAGAGCGCAAATCAATACCAACATATTTAATTGTTTGATCTTGAGCCTTATTAATTATAATAGCGAAATAAACTTGAACTTTGAATTGAAATCTCTTAAACTGGAAAGGTAAATCAGTAGGAATTATAAGTATACAGCCAGGCTCTTATTAAGATTTCTCCGCCCAAGGGCAACACCTTTTTGCTGCCCCTCTTCACTGAGGTGTAAAACCGAAAATAAGTGTCTTCAACTATTCATTAAATAGCCGCTCGCAATTTTTGTTTACTTGATTTCAGTACACCAGAAAATTACACCAAATATTTTTGGGAGGAGCTACTATGGACTGAGTTAATTACCACTGCTATCTAAGAATTACTAACAAAACACAGTATGTACTTATCTACATTTCATTTACAGAATGTCCCAAAATTATTTGACATTGGACGCAAATTCTAAATATGAATAAAGCACCATTAAAATACAAACGTATAATAAACGTTTAAAATAATTTTTAAGTTTTTTAAACATTTCGAGGGGGCTGTAGCCCACTAGGCACTCCTCCCCCTATATACCCCACTGCAGTACACTATTACAAAATATTTGTAATTAATATCAAATCCAAAATAATAACTGAGTTATAATTATATAAATAAAGTTCTAGAAAATTGTCTTTTATAAGACTGATGGTGTTGCCATAAAATAATTTAGTAACTTTCGGTCTAAATATCTCATCTCCAAACAAATCAATAGTTAAACCAATACCTATATCTCAATAAAATAGCATGTCAAATAAAATACTCATAAATATATATAAATTTTGTATGCTACTAAATAATATAAATTATTTTATAATAGGTAAAATTTACTTTTTATGTAATTTAATTTATTCAAAAATAATTTTCCATTGAGAATATCCCTAACCCCCCAAGTCCAAATTTTTCTCTCCGCGGCCGTGGTACTGTTACCGTCACCATAACATGTTCAATGACGATGCGACGAAAATACAAGTTTTATTTTATTATTATTTTCAATATTTTCAGTAATTTTTTCAAGTCGTATTATAGATTAAAACCTTCCCCGAGACATGACCAATTGTAAAATTAATAAATAAAAAGGAGACAAAAAAATTTAAAAATAATAGAAAAAATTAGGCCACCGAGACCGTATTCAAACTCAAAACGCATATTCTATTCTCTCATATTCTATACTAATATTTATCAAATTTCGAATTATATTACTTAAGTTTTAGTTGTTTTTAATTGTTATTAATTTTATTTTTATAATACATAATGATAATAATATATTTAGTTCAATTATTTTCAATATTTATTTTAAATCATATAATTTTTTAAAAGGAAATAATAAATCACTATTGTATCAACATTTATTTAATCCAACATTTTTATTTAAAAATAATTATTTTGTTCAAAAAAATTTTAAATTTTACATGGATACGCATAATTTTTATGTATTTTTTTGTATCTTATATTGCAAAACTTATTATGCATTGAATGGACAATTTTTGAATTATTTCAATTTATTCAATATGTATTAAAATTTTACTTCCATAAAAATTTAATTAGAAAAAAAATAGGTAACATTTATAAGTCTTTTGTTTTAATTTACAAGAATATCAAACATTATTTTAAATACATTTATAATGTTTTTTTTTTGTTATTCTATTATTATTTTTTATTTACCATGCCATACACAATAATAAAAAAAATGTATTTGTTTTTTAATTATAATTTCTATAGCAATTAATTTTTTAATTTTAATTTTTCTAAACAAATATTCAAATAATTCTAATTTTTTTGTAACAAATTTAATTAATTTCTTATTACAATAGTTTTCAATTTACAATATGTGATAATTATCATCCGGTATCTATAAATCTAAGACAATTGCAAACAAAATGTAGTTGAATAGTATGATTGTATAATTATTTTCAATGACTGTCCTCCTTAAAAAACTGTAAACCACAATAGTTGCACGAGTGATTTCCAGGTTTATCCTACATAAAAATAACAAAAATTAGATACATAATATAAGCTTATTTTAGTAATAAATAATATCTTAAAGATACTTCAAATTAATACTAAATAAATGGTTTGTTTTAATAGATAAGGATTTGAATAATATAGCATAAACCGATTAAAAAGAAGTAGACTAAAGTGATAGCATAAAATAGCTCTTAGATTAAAAATATTAAAACCAAAAAGAGTTGATTATAAATTGTTATTTTTAAATCATATATATATAAGTTAAATACTAGTAGCGACTTCTAAAATTTAGATTTTACTACTAAACATAAATTATATAATTTGGACCAACATTTTAAAGTGAATTATTAAACTTTAGTTACTTAAGTAAGATGTAAATACAAAAATATAAATATTCATCTTGATGAAGTATTTTTAAACTTTATATTAAATACAGTAATAATAAATTGATTTTTTTTCTAAATCAACAAGTTAACTTAGATATTTATTATACCATTAATTGTAACATATGATAGTATCAATTATTTAATTTACAATAAATATTTTGTTCATAAAATTAATCAAAAAAACTAACTTATTTTTAAATATTTATCATGTGAATGAATATATCAATATTTGTATACAAAAATAATTAAAATAATACAAATCATTTTATTATAATAAAAATATATTAACTTTCACTAATATTAATTTATTAATCACATCAATTATTAAGCATGTTTAACATAACTTCTATGTTTACAAAATAAAATGAAAAACTTCAAAACTTAAATCGAATATTAGATTTCCAATCATATGTCTCTGATTAAAATGAATAACATCATGAAATAATAGGAGGAACAAACGTGTTGTTGCAATTGGAATAATCTCATAGTAGGGTAATCTTTATACATGATTGGCATGAACACGGCAAACTTACCAGATTAATATAGACTTTTGGGTGTCCTAAAGATCCACCACCACCATCGCAGTACACTACTCGTTGCTTACACGCTTTCGGTGGGACCTGACTGATGAGATCAATGGCAAACGATGGGTTCACTTGTTTTTCCTTGTCAACGAAACGCGCTAGACGATAGTCATCTTTCTCCCATTTCTACGGTATAGAACGAAACAGAGTTACTGAAAATAAACCAATATCTTTCCTACTCACTTGACCAGTGTGCGTTTTCACTTCCTTCGGTTCCCAAGAGAACTTCCTAGTCACCTTGACAACAGCTACTAAACACGCGCGCTTTGACACTGAAGCACCAACTCTAACGTTCAACATATTCAACGCCATTACACGCAGTTCAAAAACGATAGAAAACGCGTTAAAAAAGTCGTTTCGGTCGGATTAATTGCCAGTCTAAACATATGATGCCTGATAATAGATGTATTATCAGTAAAGTTCGGACTGAGATTGTATACACTCCATGGCAGGGGTCATCAAATGACGACCCGCGGACAAAGTTGATTTGGCCCACAGACAAGGAAAAAAATAAGTCGTTAATGAAATACATCGATTTTCAACGGCAAAAGCAGGGACGTATTTTGAGAGGGGGGGGTATCATCGCCTCCGGGTGACATTTTTTTGCAACCAAAATCCATTATCCATATTCATTCATCTATCAAACATTTTTAGTATTTTAAGATTACACTGTTAATATATAAGACCACACTGCGATTTATATATATATATATGATATTTTTGAAAAATCGTATAAAACGTGTGTAGGGGTGGCAATAAAACTTTACCCGGGGTGTCAAAACTCTAAATACGTCTCTGGACGGAAACAGATATCATATAACAGTAAAACTTTCGTTAAAGGTCACCTCTATGAAACAGTCAATTTTTTTTTGTCCTTTTGAGTGTTATAGGCAGTGCTCAACTTGAGGGAGGACGGAGTACCCCTTCTAATTTTTAGAAATTTTAGCGTCCCCCTACTATTAATACGTTATAATTATAAGGCTTACCAAGTTTTGGGGACGCAATTTTATTTCAAGCAAACAGAGTCCCCCTTCTTTAATTTTGCCAAATCAAGCAATGGTTATAGGTAATATATATTAACACCTATATAGTAGAGAAGGTTAGTCCAGTTCAATTTAAGAAAAAGTTTATTAGTTCACAGTTCACTGAAATTAATAGTTCAAATGAACTATTCTTTAGTTCACACAGTTTATCAAGTTCACTATCATGGCCACTGAGAGAGCGCTGCTAAGCCGCGACTAAAACTCGTCCGTTATCGCGCATTCCCACCACTAAACATGATAAAACGCTGGACGCCAACGCCACGCTACCAGCACAGTATAAGCCACTGGTCGTTGCGTTATAAGGGAATTTACGGCGGCAAAACCACGGAGCTCAATAATTTGTATGCGCGAAGGAATACCGCTCTCTCAGTGGCCGTACTATAGTTTAAATGATTCATACAATTTGGTATCACAAACGATATGAACTATTTTTCTAGTTCAGGAACTATATTATATATATTTGCTCTAACTCTTCATTTTCTTGGACTTAATGTATTCCAATTACTTCAATCTTTTACTTCCTTCTTTCGTACATTAAGAACAATCACTGCAAAATATGAACTGAAACCTGGTCTTATGATTTTATGTTCAACTTTTTATCTTTTAAAACTAAAAATTTTCTTCTTGAAGCACTAGAATGCATTCTTTGTGCAGACGAAATGTCCATAAAAACTTATCTTTTTTACTATGTGTCAAAAGATAAAATAATTGGCTTAAATCAAACAAACAATAATGTCACATACAAACCTGCTAATCATGCTCTTGTTTTTATGATTAGAGGTCTAAACTATAGTTGGAAACAACCAATTTCTTATTATTTAATTTCAAAAAGCTGTTCTGGTAGGGAATTAAATGATATAATTTTTTCAACAATGCGCAGACTTAAAAATATAAAAATTACTGTAAAAGCATTTATTACCGAACAAGGCTCAAATTTCATACAATTTTCTAATAACAACAATGTTTCTCCAATTGAGCCATATTTTGAAGTTGATGAAGAAAAAATTATATATATATATATGTGTATTTGATCCCCTTCATCTATTGAAATCAACCAGAAATATGTTTTTTATAATGAATGAGTTAGTAGAAAAAAATAATTAAACACATTTTATGATTATGATTCTAAATGTAATCTATGCATGGCACCAATATTGACCTCTTTGCATGTTATCCAGGACCATTTGAAAAAATAAAAGTACGATTAGCTGCTCAGGTATTTAGTACAAGTGTTGCTGCTGGTATGTTCGCAGCTTTAAATTGTGGTATTTTACCTCAGACTTTGAAAAAAACAATTTACTTCATTTATGATATGGATAAATTGTTTGATATTTTCAATTCATCAGGCACTCCTAAAAGTAAAATTATCAATGACCCTTTTAAAAACACTTTGACACAATCTGATCACTTAATTAAAATGACCAAAGTATTTAATAATATCAAAGTTATGCATAAATTCAATAAATCTGATGTAACTAGATGTGTTAACTTTGGTTGGTTAGTTTCTAAATTTTGGTTTACAAATTCTGTGGAGTTCTTCAAATTCTAAAAAAAATAAAGATTATGTAATTAAAATTCATCATGTAAATCAGGATTACCTTGAAAATCTATTTGGAACAATTCAATCACAAAATTGCAATAATTTGAATCTGACTCCAATACAATGTATTAATGTTTTTAAAAAAATGTTTTGCCTAAATTACTTTAAACATTCCCCTGGAGCTAATTGTATTGAAGATCTCGATGAAATCCTAACCCAAATAAATGATACTCAATCATCCTCTGATATCCCACAAGTGCTAATAAATCCAACTCAAAATATTTTTAATTTGAACTCCATTAAAATTGGTACAGTTGCCTATAGAAATTTAAATATCCCTAACCAAAACTGTCTAACATATATTTGTGGTTATTTAATGAAAAAATGTTTTGAAAATCATGTTTGCTCTATGTGTACAGAATATGCTCACTTTCAAAAAAGTTTAGATCCTTCTTTCTTCTATCTTTCTTCAAATCTTATCCTGCAAACAATAATCTTAATACTTTGTTTGGAAAATTAACAATGCCTCATAATAATTTTTATAATTTCATTTTCAAATTAGAAAGTATATTTGCTGAAAACTTCCCTTCAATTGCAATTGAAGACAATGTAGGAATCAAGATTAAAGACTTAATGTGCACTGTTCGTTATAAACATCCTTATGAACAGTTTAATAAAATGTATTTAATAAAACTTTATACTAGATTCAGAATTTTTAACACAGTTTCTTTTTTTAATAAATCTTTAATAGCTGATAAAAATAAAAAAAATAGGAAACTTGCAATTTTAAAACACTTATAATCTTAATTGAATTGTTCACATGTATGTGTATAATTTCCATCACTAAAATTAAATTTTATCATGGTTTCAGCTCTGTTTTTGATTGTTTTTAAAGGAAAGTTTTCAATAAAATCTTTTAATACACATGGCCTACTGTTAGAGATGGGCAATTTAAATCGATTTTTTTGTTGATGATTAATCGATTTTAAAATCGATTTGGCAAGGGCGATTTTATCTCTGAATCGATTTTTATTTTATCGATTTAATTTTTTTTTTTTACTTGGAACTTGGTACATCGATAATTTTTTCCATTACTGTAAAATCTTGAACACTATATAGTATGTGGGCATCTTTCTCGATATTTGTTAATATTCAGAATTCGGAATTTGGAACGTCCTTGGTAATTTATATATATTTTTTCTCTCTCCCATATTCTTATTTATCTTTAGTTAAAATATGAACTAATCATAATTATATATAATATATGTTATGTATTATAAAATCAAATATTAAGGCGAATTTCCACCATTCGGCCAATTGTTTAAATCGTATTGAGAAGTAGTACCATTTAGGAATTACGGCAACTTCCGATCACACAAATGCGTCAGTTAAAGGAATTCGCGCCAAGTGTAATTGTTAATAAAATTATATTTATATTAAATATTTGTTAAAATTGAATACGCAATAGAGTGACATTTTTCTATTGTTCACAAGCGCTATCGATCTATTTATTCCATTAATTTCATTAATTATCGGCATTTTTATGTATATATAATGTATATAAACAATAAAAAAAAAATCGATTTAAATCGGACAATCAATTCAATTTTGGTCGATTTTTGAATCAATCTATTTTATTCTTTCGATTTAAATCGATTCGAAAAATCGATTCACTTTAAAGAATCGTCCATTTCTAGCTACTGTATTTGGTTCGACGTATATTTGCGAATAAATATTTTCACTAATGAAACAAACAAAATCATTTCATAGATCACGACTTACGGATGAACACCTTCATTCAATTTTGAAGATTGGAACCACTGAATTTCAACCAGATTTTTCATTATTAGTAAAAGAAGTACAAGCTCAAATTTCACATTAAAAATAAGAGTAAAACATTTTTGTAAGGTTTCTAGTTTAATTTTTATCATTATAATTTGATTTTTTGGAATAATTATTTAAACGAATTCATAAATTTAAATAAAATAATGTATGGAAATAAATAATTTAAAAATATTTTCATACATTTTTAAAAAATTTTTTATTTTAAAAAATTCGTAACGGGCCACATGTAGCCCACGGGCCGCGAGTTGGGCACCACTGCTATAGTATATTAACAGTAATTTGTTGGTATTAAGTTTAACTATAATTATAATTTGAGAACAGATAAAATAAAAATTTTGGACCCTCCCCCCAATAAAAAAATTCCTGGGTACGCATCTGGAAGTGATTGCTAAATTTTGTATTTTGGTTTTTATGTTTTCCTAGTTTCCTACACTATTTTATAGCTTCTATTAGAAGTAGAACACTCAATATAATATGAAAAATAGCAGTAGCATCTTGGCTGCTGGCAAGACGTAATTCACAGATTTATTCTTTTATTTTTAAGTTTATTTAAGTTATAAGTTTATTCTTATTATATAACTTTTAATCTGTGACATGTGATAATTGATAATTCGCGTATTATTGACGCTGATTGTATGCTCAGATATTAGATATTAATATATATAATGATCCAGTGGCGTATCCAGGATTCACTTAACGGGGGTATTTTAAAATTTAATAGACTTATGGTAAGTAGAGCCTCTGCCCCCTCCCCCGTATTACATAAATAAATTCCATGTATTTATATAAATGAAAATGATTACATTAAGACAGCATATGTAAAACCTACAAGTTGTATACAACGTTTATTCAAATAATCAAAGTAAGTTTACAATTTTGTGAAATACCATAAAATAAGGTCGATGGGGGGTGTTTTAACACCCATATCACCCTCCTAAATACGCATCTGTAATGATCTAATAGACTGCTATTTGATATATAGGGCCGGCGAGAGGGTGGGCAGGGAGGGCTGAAGCTCGGGATCCGTACGTCCGAGAGGGCCCGTCGTCTTAGCCTTTTATGCAATATTTTTATTGAACTAAAATATGTACAAAATATACAACATGTATATCTTAGTCAAACAAATGCAAGTAAAGGGGGCCCCAGGGCCCTCAAAATTTCTCGCCGGCACTGCTGGTATAATATACATAAGCTGCTATTAAAATATTAAATTTAAAATTAATGATAAGCATTATATAGTATATTATCAGCTTTTATTACAAAATAGCAATAGTAGATAATTATCACTGTTATTTTAAAATAGCAATAGCGTTATCAGATGTTATAAAAAAAAAAAAAATAGCAACTTACCATCACTATTAAATTGTCTAAAAGAAATCTGAAAAATACGCTTGATAACAACTAAGTACACAGTACTTTTGATAAGAATATTTGACGGTTTTTTTTATCATTGCTCGTTCGGCAACCAGTAAATCTTAAATCATGATTCATTTCACATATATGTAAAGATAACGTTATTTACGCGACGAGTTATAGATAATTTCGATGGTCAGGATCGATTTCGAAATGGATAGAGTGTAATTTATACCTTTTTCGATTTCATCCTCGTCCCAGTTTTGAGTTTTCTGGAAAACTGTATGTCGTCCAACCGTAGCTAACTGGCTGCTGTTGTTGTTGTTCGGTTTCACGGGCAGCGTAATGGAGTCCAAGTTCTCGGGTTTCAATAAAGAAACGACGGCAAGACCGGCATGTAAGAAATGCGGTTATTCCGGTCATTTGACTTACCAGTGTCGCAATTTCATCAAAATTGACCCAAACAAGGACATTGTGCTGGATGTAAGCAGCACGAGTAGTGAATCCGAAGAAGAATATGTCACGCCATTGGTGCAACTACGTGAAACTGAATTAGCCCAGAAGTTAAAACAAGCAGCAGCTGAGAAGAAGAAGAAAAAAAAGAAAAAAAAAATCAAAGAAACGCAAATATAAATCTTCTGACAGTGACTCAACGGATACAGATAAAGAAAAACGAAAGAAAAAACACAAGAAACATAAGAAGGAAAAGAAATCAAAAGATTAAGTAAAATTTAGTAGATTACTTTGTCCAAAATTTTAATTTTTTAATTATGTAAAATAATTAGACAAAGGCAGTTTTATTACTACTTGTGTTCCAATTTTTTTTACTGATGTTTTTCAACTATTGAAAAGTTAACATTCAGCTTATGTTATATTATTGTGATAGTCATAAAGGTGACAAGTTAACAAATCAATAATTGATCTGAGAACACTAACTTGCCTAGAAATATTTTTCTAATTTAGCATACTTTTACCATCTAGTTGTTAAATTATTTAAAAACTTCTTAACATTATTGAAAACAATAATTTGTTCTTGATTATTAAAAAAATAAAAGATATAATTAAGCTAATTCCAACGTACTTGAAAATTCTGTATCTTATATGCAGGTATATTTAGGGAAAACTTAAAATATATAAATTTAAGCATTTTATTGATTTTTTTTGTTTTGAAACTTATAAATATCATAATATTTTGACATTTAAATATTACAGTGTATTGTATATCACGTAAAAATAAAATAAATATCTTGAGATTTTTTTTTAAAATACTGCAATCTTTTGAATTTTTATTAAAATTATTTCCAACCATATTATTTACTATAGTATTTATCATGTTATTCATGGACTTTTAGTAAACATTTTAATATACATGTCATGAATAATTATTATATGCATATATACATGTATGTATATTATGTAATAATGTATCATTAATGGGAGCCAAAATTTAAAAAAAAATCATAGTTAACCCTTGCTTCCTATAAAAATTACTATGTAAAGGATTTAACTATTCATAATCAATAATATTTCTTAGTATGTACCTAGACTAGTCTACCTCCAAGTCATCAGACAGATTTTTGGATATACGTAAAGATGTTAGTTTGTATTATACAGTGGATTATACACATTGTATTCAATTATTTTATAGAAGGTATATAAAAAAAAAAAAATTAAGGCATTTTTAGTAAATCAACTATTATTTTTTAAGTAGTACCTATAGAATGAATCTACAATAAAATACAAAATTATCATAAAAATTAAAAATATACAATATAATTGTAATCATGTTTATTTAGCTTTTAGGTTTTAGAAATGATTTAAATCAATTTATTGTACTATTATAATAATCAAATATTGTAAATATAGGTACAATGAGATAGTATATAACTATAAAAGTATTAAGTATAGTTTTCTATTTAATTCTATTTAAAACCGATGTATTTCTATGTATAACATACATACATATGGTACCTACATCATAATTGCAAATTGGTAGCATAGCTAAATATTAATTTGGTGAACTAAGTTTAAAATAATTTTTGTATTATGTGTTTTTTTAAATTTTTTCTAACGTTCTAGCAATTTTTTTCAATTAATCCATTTTAAAATAATTGATATTTCATAACTACCTATGTAGTTATAACCTTTGTTAAATTTTCTATAAATGATTCCTATTAATTCCTATAATTTGTTTATGAATATTATCATATTATATATTAATTTTTATTTATTTGGAAAACTCAAATCAGTTATACAATATTCTATATGTATAAAATAGACCGCAGATTCCGCAGTTGCCTCATCTTTGAGTGTCTTAATATACAGCTTTATTTCTAACAATTTCATATTTAATGATAACTATTGCCAATCAAAAAATTAAATTTTATTTAAGGAATAAATTTATATTAATCAATAAACATTAATATTTAAGATGAAATTGTAAACAAAATTTCAATCAGAAACATTCAATATGGAAAACTTATTAGATGCAATAGCTCCACACACTTCCGAATCATCACTAACACAAAGTTCTTCATTATCATCTTTTTCACTAGTATCACTATGTGATGATAATACTTCTTTTATTGATTCTTCTTCATCATCCGAAGGTTCTACATAATTATGTTCATATGTATTGGGCTCCTCCTTTATGCCCTTAATTTTCAAGATATCTTTTAGTTGTGTAGAAGACATAAAATTTTCTAAGTTACAAAAAAAAAAAAAAAAAATTATAAATTTAAACCATGAAAACATTAAAGCTTTGAAAATATTCCATATTTATAGCATGATTAGGTGATTTAAAAATTATTTATCCCTTTAAATTTTTCAAATTAACCAATGCCTATTAACTAATATTTCATACTTTTGCAATGTGTAAATCCAATGGGTCTTAATGCCAAGCTAATTTTTCCATCTAGTGCCATGCGAAGTAAGTTATTAGCTGCACGATATGTATCTGGTCGTCCTGCTTTTGCAGTAATAAAACCACGTTTGATTGCCCAACCTGAGTAACAATAAAAACAACTTATTAAGTGAAAGAAAATAATATATTTTAATTTGTTTGATTAACATACTGTCACAAATATCTATTGCAGACCACTCTTTTTCACCAGGTTCTGGATGTTGTAAATTTAAAATTTTTACCAGATCCAATCTTTCAGCTAAAAATTTAATAGATGAATATGGGTCACGTAGTTGTGCAATAGGATAGCAACCCATTAAAACCTATAACATTATTAAGAAATAAAATTTTTTAAGTGTTGCAAATCAAAATTAAAATTTATACTTGTAATGGCTTGGGAAGTTTTGATGGAAACACAAGTCCAGGACAATCGCACAAACGAACACTAGGAGTTAAAAATATTGTTTGAAAATGCTTTGTATGTCCGGGAGTTCGAGAAACACTCACAACTTTAAGAGAAAAATAAAAACATTTTCATAATAAGATAATTTGCAGATAATACTAATAATTAAGTATTTACTTTTTTGCCCATCAAAGAATTCAAAACAGATGATTTTCCAGCATTGGGTTGACCAAGTAAACCAATAGTTAGATAACTATTTTGAAACAGATCAAAATGTTCATAACTAGTGTCTGGAACAACCTAAAATTAGAAATATTTTCTCAATCCATAACATCATATTTTAACAAAAATAACATATTTATTAGATAAGATAAATTTAATTCATATTTAAAATTAAAATTTGATAAATTATTAACAAAAAAAAAAAAAAAAAGAAAAAACTCACCGTAATTTTCTCTTCTATTTCAATAACTTCTTCTTCATTATCATACTCTAGTTCTTTTTCTTCGGCAATTTTCTTTTCCCAGCTTTGTAAATCAACTATAATAATAAATAGTTGAAAATCTACATAGGAAATGCATTATCATATTTTCATACATACTTTTAGCTTGATATTTTTCAACTATACTTTTACATTCTTTTAACAAATTTTCTGCAGCTTCTGCAGCCATCTTTAATTTACCTTTACGTTTATTTTTCTGGATGCCTTATACATACAAATATATTTCATTAAAATGTGTAAGACCGCATTAATGAAGTAAACATTTAACTAACTTTTATAATTATTTACCTTCTTTGAATTCTGATCTGTTTGTATAAGAAGTGAAGAATAGCACATGAACTTTAGCTTTATCATCATCATTCATATTATGTATTTGTTCTAATTTGTTTTTCCAGGCTAAAGCAATAGCTGATGGTATAAGATCCACTTTATTCAAAATTATTATCAAACTCTTTTTTAATGTCTTCAATACATATGTAAATAAGTATGATGGGATAGCCTAGAAAATGGTAGTTTTACTTTGTTAAACAAAGTTTCAGAAAAATTAAATAATACATATTAATATGTAGCTAATAGAGAGATACTGTTTCTTACTGGATAACGAGCATCAGCTATCCATATGAGAATGTCAGACATTTCCATAACGCGCCACATCTGTCGCCATGTTTCCAAGTTCAATTCAAAATAACTTAACTCATTCCAGTCACTTCTTTTCTTCAGATTCATTAAATAATCCTTGAAATAACTATATTCACGACTATCTAACTGTTCTCTAGTCATATCTGGACTCCATCTAGGTCTTGTTGGAAAACAAAGCTCGTCACCACAAAAATAAAGAGCTGGGTCAAATTCTAGTTCTTGTTCAGAAACTGGAATAATCTCTTTTCTTGCATCTTCTTTTTTCTTTTTTATTTCTTCTTCAGTTTCTCGTCGAAATTTTAATACATACCTAAACAAAATTAACATTAAAATTACATACAAAAACTAAATATATTTTTTGTTGCTAAACTTTTTTTTTTCTTTTATAACTGATACAATATTAAATTTAATTAATTTCTATGAATGATTTATAATATAAAATTATATTTATTATTAAGTAATGTGCATATTATTAATAACACAAATGTAAAGTTAAAATTATTATTACATACTGGTTAGGATTAGATCTCCCACCTCGATGTAATGGTTGCTGATTAATACTCTGTATATTGAGATCGGTCAAACATTCTTTGTTTGGTTTGAGATTTGTGTCTGCTCTTTTGTTGCTATTATCAGATTCTGTTTGAGATGAGAAAATAAATAACGTGTACTAGTATATTACAAAATGAATACTTAAATGATGTTACAAAAGTACATGTATACCTGATGCAGCATTTAGTTTTCTTTTCCTTTTTTCTTGTATTTGTAGTTTTTTTTGTTTTCCACTAAAGGGCAATTTGCGACGTCCTTGTGGCATAGCGAATTTATTTTTTAATTATATATTTTAATTTAACGGTTTTCCAAAAGCGAATTAAAATACTGTGACTCGGATGAAACTTCGAAGACACGAGTTATCAAAAATCAATGTTATCACTAATTCAAAATATAGAATGTTCGAGAAACAATACATTAATTCAATAGCGTCTCACCTTAAAAATATTATTAAAAAATTCTGTATTATAATATATTACGTATTATTATTGTATTTTCATATACTCGTAATGTCACTATTTAATATAGGTATATTTTCATTAAATAAATATATTTCTAATAATTGGCATAAACTGTATTAAAATTAATATTTCATAATATTCAGTCATGGGTGAACTTAGGAAAAAATGTCAGCGGGTTTTGAATATTTAAAATGTAAAACGTAGTGTTAATAAATAGCATGCTTTATTACTCCTTAATAATAAGGATTTTTATGTTTTTACATATGTTTTATTGGCTTTATGCAGATTTACGAAAATGAAATATATAGATGATTTATCCATCATAGAGCTCGTAGGAAAACATTTATTTTGTATATTTTAGCATATTTTGGACATTAAAGAATATTTAGCCTATTTTTCATATTTTTGAATATATTTAATTATTGTTCATAAAAAAGCATATTTTATTAATTTTTTGAGTTGTGATTTTTCTAGGAAAAAATATTTGATTGTTATATTTATATTCCTATGTATGGAACTGTTATCCATTTTTTCCATTTAAATAATTTATCTTTTACCAAGAAATGGTCCCTACAAGTTGTTCATTATTTTTATTTAACTATTTTTTTTTTTTATATATATATAATTTTATTATATTTATACTCCTATATATGAACTGTTTTAAATTCTTATATTTACACAATTTAACTGTTCTCAAAGGAATGGCCCATAACAGTAATTTAATGTTTTTATTGAACTATTTAAAAAAAAAAAATCATATCATCTGCATATTTACAAGTTTAAGGAATACTTAGAGATTATTTGAGGGTTTCTTAGAGCATATTAGCATCATATTGTAAGCTTTTAAGAACCTAAAAATCCGCTCTTTACTCATTATATAATATATATATATATATATTATTTATTTATTTTTATTGGAAATGAACAATCTATGCTAGTGAAGCTCGATAAGTAAATATGATGACAAAATATACAAGTGAGATATGAATTATATGAGGAAGGAGGCCATCCATTGATGGAACCCAATGCGATATTATCTTATTGCGGATTTATTTAAGTAAGTCTCTACACCATTTTCGTTTCAAACTGCTTATTGGGTTCCCAAGGAGAATTTGCATTAGAGTGATGAAATGTTTGGATTTCGATGTGTAAATAATTTAGAATGGAATCTAAAGTAGTGATTAGAGGCTAATTGGCGGAGGACTATAATAATCCGGAAAGTATATGTCCGGACCGTATAATCCCGGAACGTATTCATCCGGACCGAATTTGTCCGGAACGTATCTCGCCGGAATCTAAAGTATATAAGCCGTATTTTCCCGGAACGTATTATTCCGGAATGTATTTTAAATTGTCTATATTTAACAGTTTTTAGGCGCTAGTGAGTCGTCTTTAACTTAAATAACTAAAGATAATAATAACTTCAATATCCTTGTTAGATATCTTTGCCTGTTGAAATTATTATACAATATCGTAGAATCTTTTTGTAGTAGCCCATTGCATTCATAGACCGAAAACGAGGTTAAAAAGTGTACTTATAAATAATTTTTTTGCTATAAATACTAAAAGGTTAACTTGTTTGAAAAAATTATATTCCACTATGATAGGGAACGATATTATTCTATTTGTGTAGGTGCATTAAAATAGTGAATGAATTCTTTCAATTGGAATTCATTTAACGTGAAGAATGGCAAACTTTAAAATAAAATTACTGGTTTGCAAAATGGATATCATTGAACCAAGCGTCGGAGAACTAGGAAATCATCAATATATTAGATTTATTAAATTTGAGAACAAATGCGATTTATACGGTAAATTAACATGGTAATTATATAGAATATAAGATTAAACTTTAAAAAAGTATTCTAAATCTTTTTTCTGTACTTAGAATACATGTAAAAGTTATTTAAAATACTGTTATGTATTCGGAACATCACCAAAGTCTGCTATTTGACAATAATTCAAATGGATTATACTCGTATAAAGCTCCTTCTGGCCCCTTCCTTAAATCCGCCACTGGTGTTACTGCCAACCTTAGGGCTTAGACTTTTACGGTCGATTTTTAAGGGGTTTGATATAAATAATTTATAATACTCTCAAACAAATTGACTATCTACTTTGGACCCCAGGATTTTACTTTCCGGAATGATACATTCCAGGCGAATACGGTTTTCGAATTTTTGATTCCGTCGATATACGGTCCGGATAAATACGTTCCGCCAATTTATTTTCCGGAATTGTACGGCCTTCCCTAATTGGCTAAGTGTTTCGATGTTGAAATTGTTATGTAGAGTCTCGTTGGATATGTATCAGAGTGCATAAGTTACAAGCGAAGGGCTATTGATTGGAACGCCTGTATGGTGCGAATTTGGAAGGGCGCAGATCCATAGTAATTATTAGGGGGGGCACTTTATATTGTGGTCATAATATAATATAATAAATTCAATAATTCTATAATTGCTCCAGCGCAAAAAAATTGGAGCCCCTCTAAGGGGCCTACTCACGGAAAATATAGGAGATAGATCAACATGGACCTTTTAGATATTCTAAAATCAATGCTATTTTTGTGTAGTAGGCCGCTACCGCACGCGCACGTGATAACATAATACACCGTATTATTATAAATAACTTATGTTTATTGCAAGGATGGAAAAAGTTTTTGATTTTTTCGTTTTCGTTTTTGTTTATTGATTTAAAAAATATCGTTTTTATTTAAACGTTATTTTTCTTTAATGTTTCCAAATAAAGTTTTTGATAATTTTGTTTTTTTTTATATATATTCTTATTTATTATACCTAACTTATAATAGTTACAATGAATATTCAATATACTGAATTTAGGAATGCACTTAAATTATAATTGATTATTCTTAATATTTAAAATTTAAATTTCAAATCAAAATTATAATTTATATTTTATATGAAAATAATAAAATTCAAAATTTTAAATTAAAACGTTTTTAAAAAGTGCATTGGTAAAGCGTGAAGACTAAAGAGTAAGTAAAGACGTAAAGCAAAACACTATTTCAAATGTCTATAAAATCATGTTATTGTTACATTTAATTATAATAGCTAATAGGATAATGAGTAGGTATCAAGGTGGATATATATCCACCTTGGTAGGTATAATAAATTATAAAACAAAATCATTTACTAATCAACTGCTAAAATCAATAGATAATAATATAATCATATTATAATAATTGAAGCGACAACCATGTTATAGATTACACTATAATCATAGGCGCATATTGTGTGTGAATTCAGGGGGTGCTGAAATAATTTAAAATACACAGGTCCGTGGGGGGCTTTGCTCCCCACACCCCCCTAATACTATAATCAACTGTGTTGCCATAATTTTTAATTTTTATTAATGAATATTTAAAAGTTATTATATTATAATTTATAATAATATATTAAACAAGAATTAATTTCCTGTTTGATAATGCAAATTTTTCCTATATAATTTTTCCATCTATTTTATTGGTAAGATCTCTCTCAATGCTAAACGTAGATAGCTTAATAAATCTTTCTTGGCCTATTCTAGTGCGTAACCAATTTTTAAATCTACGCGTAGCTGAAAAGGAGCGTTCACACGTTAAAGAAAAAATTGGAATTGTCATTACCACTTGACGCGGACCCGTGCGGCAGCCGTTATCGAAACGGCAGTCGCCGACCGTGTCCTTATCTTTCTCATCAACCGCCACTCCGCGGCACGCAACGCCGCAGCGACCCCCGTCCACCCATCCATCACCGGACAGGGGACGCGAGCGGTCGCTACGACGTCCGACAGGTACCACCATATAACCGGGCTGTTTTTCCGAGATCGTGTACCGAGACACAACTCACGTTCTCGACTCACATAATTACCTTTTTCTTTTATTGTGACATTTTTTTTACGGTGGACGTTATTGTGATCATTATTATTATTATTTTTTTCTTCTCTTCAACTTAAACTGTGTGTCCACATAAATATACATTTTGTGTCACCATAAGCCGAAGTTGTTTTTTTTTAATATTCAATTTCGGTTCACCGCACCGCGACCGTGCACACACACACCATCACCTGTGTGCCGCGTCACACTTGAACTAGTTTATAAACATTTGGAAACGAACTTTTATTACATTGATTTTTCAAGTCTTCAAATTCAAAGTTGGCTAGTAGACTATTCTTTAAGACCAGCATTTCTGCAGATAAACTAACAGCCGATGTATTCAAAATAACCTGATATATCAAAAATATGAACTAGTATATAAAATGTAAATAGTAATGAATCATATCGTTTGTATGATTGGTAATAATATTTGTCATTCCTCATACAATTCTGCGTAGCCCACTGGTTAAATATTACCAAAAACCAAGTAATAATCAAAGTTATAAATAGAACATAACTTCGTAGCCAACCATAAACCGTAGATAATATAAGAATATAAAGATAATATGATTTTCTATAATATTTTGATTGCTGTTTATAGTTTAATAGTTTGACAAAAACTGAAACAGTATAACGTGCAATTATGCAATACTGTTTTAATTGTGTATTCGTCAACTATATTATATATTATTTTCTATAGTGGAAAAAAAATGTCCAACCCAATAAACCACAATGATTTACAATTTATTAATCAAATAATGAAATAAATATTCTAGAAAACTGGGGGTACTAAGCACCCCCGAGCACCCCCTATTTGCACCTATGACTATGATCCACGACCGTCGTCGTGAAAGATAATAGAATTTTACCGTCACCACTGCAATGTGTATGGGCCATGTGGAATATAATTAATTAATGCACTATACTATTAATTTATTTTATTTGTCAACAATCACCTATTAGTTACAGAATTATTAACTTTTTGATAACAGATATTTTTTTTTCGTAATAAATAATAATAGTAATTAATAATAAATAATTTAATAAGGATCCACAAAGCATACTTTCATATTTCTATGGCCGGCTACACACGATCAGTTTTAACTGTCACTTTTCACTGAATAGTTTTAACTGTCAGTTAAAACTGACTGTGTGTTGGTTGAAAACTGACAGTTCTTTCGTTATCAGTTAAAACTAATTGAAATATGATTTTACATATTTTTAAACTGAAATGACGAACTATTCAGTTAAAAATGTGTGTAAAATGAATGTGTTAATTCATTTGTAAATTTTTAAATTTTTTTTTTCATTTTTAAATTTTTTGTAAATTTCATAATTTAAATTCGAATGAAATCGACGTTTTTGTTAAGCCATAGATAATCCGACGACCCCTTTCCCCGATCTCGTTCGGATTATGGAGACCCTACTGTATTTTGTAGTGTGGACGTCCAAAGGTAACTTATATTTTTTACTTAATTTTTTATTTCGAATCAACATAATCTAATATTTTATATTTTTTTCATTTTATATGGAATCTTTAGTCCCAGAAATTATAGACTCGAGATTTGATCGAGAATTACCTATAAGATCTGGTTTACCGGAACCATAATATTTGTATATATTTTTTTTAATATACTCTCTAAATTAATACACACAACGTGTATTAATATAATATATAATCCTTTATACCTATCTAAAATAAATAGAAAACTCTTGTTTTTATAATAAATACATTTTTAAATTATTAAAAATTAAATTGTGAAGGTTTTTGCACTAAAGCTAAAAATACGTGTGTAGAATGGACGTCAAACAATAATATAGAATGTAAAAGACAGCGTATGCAGGTATTTACGTAATTATTATTACCATGTATTACAATACAGTGTTGTTATAGTTATTTATAGACTTAGGGACTTATAGCTCTAAAAAATATACAAATATGCATGCAAATTTGCTTCTAAAATCATTAAAATATTTATTTATTTATTTATTTATTAACATTTTTACGGGACAAGCCCTTTAACAAAGAAGATATAAAGTAATCTAGACATCCAAAAACATAAGAAAATAATAATTATACAGGTACAATATAAGTTTTGGTTAAAATTAAATGGTATGATATTCAAATTGTGTAATATGAGAAAAAAAAATATATAATAATAATAATAATGTTTTTAACTTGAAAATAAAGACAAAGCTTTCATTCTAATACAATCACAAGACATAAAAAAAAAATCAACATCATTACAAATTAGGTTGCATAACGTAAGCGCTCTCGGAAAAAAAGAATCGGTACAAATTTTTTTTTTAAAAAAGGGGACAAAAAATAAACTTGAGCTTCTAATTGAATAGTTATGAGTTACAATACCAATCTTACTTAACAATTCGGGAAAATTAATATTATTATTTAGAAGATCATAAATAAATAATAAATCAGATATCTTACGTCTAACTTCGCATGGCTGAATACAAATTGAGTGTCTTACTAATGAGCTTGAATCTCTGGAGATCGGTAAATTTAAGCGAAAAGCAATTGATTTTAGGAATTTATATTGAACATTGTCAACCAGTTGAACGGTCGAATTTTGACTCCATATCAATGATCCAAATTCTAAGTTAGATCTAACAAGGGAGCAATAGAGGGTTTTTAGTACTTGAATATTTTTAAATTCTTTAGTATTTCTTAATATAAAACCAAGCATTTTAAATGCTTTATTGATAACTATGTTAATATTAGAAGTAAAAGACAAATTGGAGGAAAAAAGTACACCTAAATCTCTAATTGAGTCCACTCGGTTAATAATAATATTATTAATCTTATAATTGAAAACTAAAGGATATTTTTTTTTTAGTAAAAGAGATAACATTGCATTTATTAATATTTACTGGTAATAAATTTTCGTGACACCATGTGGAATACCTATCTAAATTCTCTTGGAGAATAATTACATCATCCTGATTATTAATAATTGAGTAAAATTTAGTGTCATTAGCAAACATTAACACATTAACTGACGAATTAAAAACAGATGGTAGATCATTAATAAAAAGAGTGAATAATAAAGGCCCCAAATGCGAACCTTGTGGAACTCCAGAGCAAACATGAATAATTTCTGAAAAAGAATGTAACAGTTTTACTGACTGGGTTCTATTAGTTATGTATGAATTTAACCATTTAAGGAAATTGCCGTGCAAACCAAAACTTTGAAGTTTAGATATAAGTAAATTATGGTTTATTCTATCAAAAGCTTTACTGAAATCAGTATAAACTGTATCAATTTGACATCCATTTTCAATAGATGAGATTAAATCAGTATGATACGAGTAAATGAGTAGATTCGTGAAAACAGATTTTTTAGGCTGAAAACCATGTTGATTAGGACAGATATAATTGGACAGTAAATTAGATAGCTTTTTAGTAATAATAGACTCAAATAGTTTTAGGATAATTGAAAATTTAGAAATCGGTCTATAGTTAATAACATTACTTTTATCACCACTTTTAAAAATAGGAACAATATACGTTTTTTTCCAATACATTGGAAAGGTGCCTGTTGAGAGAGACAAATTATATAATTTATGAAGTGGTTTAGTAATGATTCTTTTACATTCCTTTAATAAAATAGGAGGCACACCATCAGGACCCACACCACTATATGCGTTAAGCGAATGCAAGGCATCGATAATTTCTTCCTCGCTGATATACCATGAAAATAAATTTAAATTATTAATAGAATTTGTAGCGTCATAACTCATATTCATGTTATTATGTGTGGGAGGAGGTGAGTACACACTGGAAAAAAATTGAGAAAATAATTGAGCGGACTCATCGAAACTACTGGCAGTGATATTATTATACGACATATTTTCAGGAATAGGAGTTTTATTAGATTTAAGCTTTTTAATGTGATTCCAAAATGGTTTTATATTAGTCTAGGTTTAGGTATTATATTATTAAAATATGCATTATAATATGAATTTATATGTATTAAAAAAAAAAAAAATGACCACATAGTACAGAAAATAAAACGTGTCCATCGAATGTAAATATATCTTTAAACTTCGAAATAAAACTTTGTAGTCGGCTACTCGTAAACTGTTGTACTTTCGGCATTACACAATGTTACAAAATACGTACGACGTTTTATGTATGATTCGACGTTGCGTGGTTGCGAGACGCAAAAATAACGACGGATAATAATTGACTTAGGCCACGGTCACACGAACGTAAAATAAAACGTCAGTTGTTGATTTCGCATTCTACAAAATGGACGATTTGAATACCGCGATTTTTGTATACTCTGCTATACGAGTATTACGAAAAAAAAAACGCGTGAATCGAAAATGGTGGGTTCATCCAATAAATAGTGAACGATTATTAAATGGTGCATTTTACAATCTATATAACTTGCTGAGCTGACAATGCGAAATTTTTTAATTATTTTCGCATGTCTCGAAACACATTTGACAAGCTGTTTAATAAAATTAAAACAAATATAATGCGTCAAGATACAGTTATGAGATCTGCGATACCAGCAGAAGAGATGTTGGCAGTTACTTTGAGGTAATAAATAATAAAATATACAAAGTAATTGAACGATTTTCACGATTAACGTGCGTCAAAACAGCGTTCATGTTACCGAGTCGATAATATTTAATAATAAACTACAACGTCCGATAATCGCTATTTACGTCCGTCGTAGCATGTATCGGACTTCGTCGACGTCGAACGGACGATAAATCCGACGGACGTCAAATGTGTGACCGTCGTAACATAATTCAACAACGGACGTTGTGACGTCCGTCGTAACGCACGTCAGTAAAACGCTCGTGTGACCGTGGCCTTAACTGAACACTAAACAAATAATCTATTATTCTATATCGACTATTCGGTCGATATATATACGATCGATACGGGTTTATAGTATTATTTATACTTACATAAAAATTATAACGAGATATGTGAGGTAGTTTGCAGATAGCATATTATTGGAACTTCCAATTTGGAAGTACATTTTTTTTTCGATCTTTTGAAATATGTATATATAGTTTTATGTATCTATAGTTTTTAATTTTAAATTTAAAAAAATTGTCAAAATATTCAAAAATATGCACATTCAAATTTTAGATCTGATATCATGACACCGAGAAACGAATTTATTTTGCACGCTGCTATATTTAGCAATAATTAAAAAAAGTATGCAAATGCTAGAAGTCCCTAAGCCTAGTTATTTGTCAATTAGTAGATAAGATGTAGAGTGAGTAATACCTGGTGTAGGGCAGAGACCCGTGCACATACTAATAATCATTTACTAAGCACACAGTAACAAATGACTCACGCACGCATTTTAAATATTGACTATACCTAACTCCTTAAATATACACCACCGCCGATCCCCTTAACGGAATAAACGTGCTTATTTTACATTTTAACTAAATCATCGTAAAATAACTAAGTACATAGTGATGTTAATTTTTAATAGTTTTATAAAACAAATAATTATTATTAAAAGTATAAGATATGAATTATCAAACAATAATCAAATTATTAAATATTAGATATGCAGAAAACACATTGACAAATTTAGTTACCTATAATACATATTTATATTTGAAATTAAACAATATTTTACCTGTATAAAGTTTATCTTAAAGTTTAGTTTTTTTTTTTTTTTTGGTAATATAATATAACAATATTATAAGAAAATAAAAATATTATAATAACTTTTAATAATTAAAATAATTAATCCAAAAACAAATAAGTTTTTGGTATTTTCACTTTGGCCATTAATTGAGCCGGTAGTTGACATTTGATTCTTCCCTAAAAACAAAAATTATTGCACCAAAAATGAATGAATTGCTCTTATAATAAATTTAACTATCAAAACTTTAAATAACAGATAAGTTTTTGCACTATTTTTAAACAAATAAATAAACTCGTTCGTCTAAAATACAAGTGTATTTTTCAAATACTTCATATACTGTTAAAACCAATTTTACTTACATTTCATTCCAAGATAGTGATGGCAACAACAAGCTAATAATCGATCAAACACTCCACAATCTCGGACAGTAGGTTCACAATTTCTAGATTTGTTATAGCAAGTATGTGCTATGTATGGAAATACTTCTGTAAAACAATTATTTAAACTCAACTTGACAATGATTCAACACTTAAAAATATATTAAAACCACATACCATGATATTTCCTCTGACAGCAACAATGATCCTCAATAACATCATTTGACAAGCAATATTCAATTTCTCTTATTGTACATTCCTTGCAGCCTGCACCAATCACTAAGAGTAAAAAAATTATGAACATTTGCATATACAATCAAACATATTAATATTATTATTGACCTTACTCAAATCTGGTACAATATGTTGAACAGCTTCATTAGCACTCTCTAGATTGACATTATGTTCAATTAATAAATTATCATTTGACAAATCCATGTTACTATTAAAAGCACTGAATACACAAACCAACAGTATACTCAACCTCAAATACATAGTGACTGACTACAACTAGTCATAAATAAGGAATACCATTGATCAGAATCTAACGAAAAAATGTGCGTCATGGTACGTTTAGGTGATTTTCACTTTTCATTAATAATTTGTCACGCAGTGAATTCAAAATAGTAATAGAACAGAATCTCTAATACTTAAATAAAATAGGAATATATTTTATTTTTTTCATTAACATACGTATAATTATTTTATGAAATATGAAAATATATTTAGAAATAGTTATATATTTTATTAAAAATAAAAAAAATGTTAACAAATGGACGGCATTGATTACAATGTTAAATCACAATTAAAACCATATTAAAAATAATAAAATTCTAATACAAATCATTGAATTCTTTACAATTTTACTAGAAAATTAAATAAATATAATATATGGACAACACAAAATTAATTACATTATTTCAGTAAAAGATTACATTAACATATAAAATAATTCCATTTAATTTTAATTTTTTTTCTTCAGTAAATTCAATGAGATACAAGTCAACTACTGACTAAAAATTAAAAATATAGAACATAGAATACAATACATGAAAATAGTATAAAAGATTAAACTAAATATAATACAAAACAATTGTTCTTTCTAGATGAAACCTAAATAAAAAATAAAACTGAGATTCAATTTAGTTTAAGGGAATTTCAATTTTTAATATTTATTCATTTGTTAACAATTTATTGAATTTATACAATCTACATCAACATTTGTTCAGGGAGATATTTGTATACTAAGATCATCTAATATAAAAAAATACATGGCTTAAAAAAAAAAAAAATAATAATAAATATAATTTTTATGACACCTCAGTATTCATATTTTTAAAATATATTACAAATCTTAGTAGTGCAGTTTTAAGTATTTAGTTCTAAATGATGATAAATTAAAAGCATTTATTTTTGCCAATGAGTAATAAAATAATAAATATCTGTGCACATATGTTATCATATTATAATACATTTTAATACAAAAAAAAAAAAAAAAATTATAAAGAAATACCTAAAATAAGTGTACAATAAAGATCATTTTTTTTAATAAACAAAACCTTTTAGAAAAAAATAATAACAACAATAAATGATAAATTGATAAGCTTAATGCAAATTAAACTAACAATTTTTTCATGTTATTGATATGTTAATTTAAACTTAATAATAGAGAAGGATCAAGGAAATAAGTTTTAATTATTTTTTTGATTTTATTATTAATTCACTTATTTATTTATTTATATAACTGTTTAAATTATTTATAAACAAACATTGTATAAAACTTTTGCAACTTTATATTAATACAAGTAGAAATTGCTGGTAACTCAAAATGATAGAATAATTAATTGATTATAATTTAAAATGTATATATATATTTTCCTGGTGGCATATTAATGATTCTAATACCAGTATACCACATATTAATAATTTAACTGTAATCTGTATAAAATTAACAATTTTCATTTGATCTAAAATCATTTTCAGATAAATAAGATAATAGTATTAACTTAAATCAAAATTATGTTACTTACTGTGCTGTCAATTTGTCTTAAATACTATTTTTATTTACAATGTTTGAACAGTAAATAACTGAAAATATATTTTAATCAGTTAAATCAAAAATTATGTTCATATAATTTTGTAGAACTAAAGGAAAATCATAAAAATTTAAAATTTTGATATGCCTCAGTTATATTATATATAGTATATAATTATGATGTGTTATCGTAAATATAAAATTACAGCAAATGGTCAAAATATTAGTGAAGTTGATCTGTATTTATTTTCAAAAAATTATTGATTAAAATAAAAAATTAGTAATTAATTAATCTAAATAATTTTGTATTATAATAGGTTATTCACTTTATCAATAATATAATTAAAATATAAATTTTTAAGCAACTCATACATTTAGTTTTTAATAAAAAATAATATTACCTACTTTAAAATGATAAAAAAGATATTTCTCAAGTATTTAATTCATTGGTTGAATTTTAAATTTGGCGCCTAAGTATTGCATGAAAATTTCGTTTTAGTTATTTATTCAATTGTCATTTAACAACATTAATATTAATTCTATATATATATATATATATATATATATATATATATATATAAAAATATATATCATGAAATAAAAATTTTAATTTTATGTTTGAAATTGTTAATTTATGTAAAAAAAAAAAAAAAAAATACTATTTTAAGCCAGTCTTGGAATTACTTATTAAATCTTTTAAAATCGAGTCTTTAGAGTACACTAAATTAATACTACAGTTTTGAATTAAAACCCATACTTAATAACAATATTAAGTCGTACAATTTTGTTTGTTTTAAATGTAAGCTATAATAAGCATGACAACAGAAATTAATGTAACTGGTATAGATAGTTGGAAAGCGCTGTTGAATATAGGACAGTAAGGACATTGACTACTACCACATACTTCACAAATATTCAACAAATATGTTGGTAAAGCATCAAATATTGTTTCATTAAATCTTTCTGAAAAATAAATAAATAATAAATACATATATAATACATGTTTACTTTCAAAATAATTAATTATAATAAAAATAAAAAGCAAACCTGGAGCATAATAATCATAAACACGAATAGGAAGATAACGGGACATATTAGCTACAGGATACCATCTCTCTATAGTAAATTTTACACATGTTTCAGAGTCATCCAACTGTAAACATATAATATGATTAAATTGTGAACTATATTCTTAATATAGAAAATTGATAACAGAACATTACATAATCAAAATAAAATAACAGTTTTCCTGGTAAAAATCGAGCCCTTTGTAAATTTGGAACTATTCTTTGCAATACATAAGCATCTAAACTTTGTTGTTGTATTATATATCCTGTCGGAATAGCAATATCCAAAACGGCCATTCCAGACCGAGGAGACTCTTCAAGGTAAGTCCACCTAAATTATAAATCATATAATTATTATGGTTTAATTAGAATAAATTAAAAATAATTACTTTTGACAACTGCGGTAAGTAATATGAGATTGATTGCGACCATGAAAATCTGCTCTTGTTACTAGTCCAAAAGCTAATTCTGGAGGTGCCGTTTGGAATTTTGCAACATCAACATTGTATTGGACAGACATTTGTAAAATTGCATACCCTGATCCTTTAGCTTGTACTTTGACAGTACCCCAAGCTTGTGGGATCTTAAGTTAAAATAAATAATTTAAATTTATGATTCTATATGGTAATAATTTAAAATTATAAATCCTTATTAACCTCTATTCTTTGTAATTGAGCTATATTATGGCTATTAATTTTTAATGTTCTGGTTTTTCCAGAAAGAGCAGTAGCTTCAACAGTGACAGTTAGTGTAAACACATCTCTAAGTCTGTTTCTATTTGTATACTCAATCAGAGCTTTCATAGCAATAGCAGTATCTTGTGTAGAGGCCCAACCACCATCAGTAAGTCTTTGAGAATTCAACCATTTGACAATATCATCAACAAATGGTTCTTTTCTAGCCACATAAACAAGTAATGCATATGCGGTTGTTTCTATGTTAATAGAATCATATTTATATGGAAGACGTGGTAACAAAAATGGTTTCTGATTCTCCATTTTTGTTGGTGGCAAAGGTACAAAATCTTTACCCCAGTACATTAATCCACCTACAAAAATATTGGATGTAAATACTTTTCATCATATAGATTAAAATAAAAATGAACAGACCTTCTTTCCTAGAATGTTTAGCTAATAAACTGAATGCATATTCAGCAAATGATGATTTAGTTAACATAAGTGCATATGCAACAAGAGCAATTTCATACGGTTCACCAGTCATATTTAATAAATTCATATTTTTCTCCAAATATTTTACAGCTCGACTCTCTCCTTGAGCTATTTTTGAGCCTAGCCCCTACAACAAAACAAAATTCACTTGTATATTTGAATATAAAAAGCTATAATGTATATATTATAACTTACCCCAGAAAGATCTTTTGCACTAATTAATGTTATGAGTACTTGGGCTGTTAATGATATATTTGAAAATCTCTGCTGTCTATTAGTTCCAAAGAGTATTGATTTATGTATGGAACTGTTTACCTTACGGTCAGGGAACCATGATACATCATAAAAAGAACCTTCTTCAGTTTGATGAGCTAACACCCACATTAAAGCCTTTGAAATTACCTGTTTAAAAAAATAAATTTCAAAAAATAGTACATTTAAGAGTAAATAAGAGTATTAAATTAATTATATTATATTAAGCATTGATATTCCTTTAAATGTAATTCAAATTATTTGTGCATGTGTTATACAATTTTTATTTTTATTTTTGAATTTAATGAGCCTTTGCCAATTAAGTATTATGGTTTGTGTGTTATACATTTAATTTATAGACAAATATTTTAAACTCTCATTCCATACAGCCATTGTCTTGGAGGTGACTAAATCTAATTTAGTAGTATTTCTAATAGATTTTTCTTTGTAATATTGTTAATAGTTGGAATTCAATTAATAAATTATAATTAACTAAAAAATATTATTTTATTACCTGTGGATCAATAAATATAAAATTTTCCCATTCATAAAAGTTTGCTTCTTGAAATACCCTGGCACAATATGAGGTCAACCAAACACTTGGATAAGACATATTCCTAAAATAATAAATAAATTAATAAAAATGAAAAAATGCAGTAAGAAAAACCTCCATACCAATCACTCCTGAAAAGACTAAATGATCCATCTTTGTTCATAAATGACAACATACGTTGATATCCAATATTTAAATGATAGAATGATTGCTTTTCTAATATTCTATTTTGCTGATTTGCATATCTCATATAAATTGTTGTATATAAATTAGCAGCAAAACTAAACATTGTTTGTTCAGCAGCATCCTAATATTTAAAAATTAATTAAATAATGAATTTAACAAAATTAATAAATGAAATATTACCATAGGCAAATTAAGTAAAGATGTTGCATTAACTGGCATTGTGGGAAAAATGGGTCCAACAACATCTCCAACTAATGAAACATGAGCTTTGTTTGACCCATAAACATAATAACGATCAATGCTATATGGTATAATAGGTGTTTCAGTAACATTTACATGCAAATATTGAAAAACATAAGCTCTGTTACTAAGATCTAAAATCATTGACTGATGTCTATATTGAGGCACTCCATCAGACTAAATAAATGATAACATAAATTTAGTTACATACATAAATAATATATTAAATAAAAAGCATACTTCAACATGAACATTTCTTGTAACACGATCACTAGCTATTAGTGTAGTAGCTTCAATATTTATACTAATATCACCAAGTTTAGTAGGAACGACAGGTAAGTAAACAGTTTCTGCATCTTGTGCTTTGATATAAATAAAAAATTGATGATCACCATGAGATGTTCTTGGGTTATAAGAATTTACCTGAGTAAAAATTAAAATCAAAATTAGATAAAAATTATAATTAAAAGTTTTAAAAACTTGTTTTTCATACTATTCCATTTTCTTCAACATGAACAAATTTATAAGATTCAGATCCAGATAAAACAACTACAGCCTCAACACTACTACACATGTAGTTAAAAACAGTTACACGAATTCCAATCTGTTCACCTTGTTTACAATGAGTAGGCATTTCAACATTCATAAAAAACGGTAACACTCCAACATACTGTAAAAAAAATGAAGTTAAAAAAAAATCAGTGAATAAAATGTCCATAACATACTTCAATGGGCTTTTTGATCATGCCAAATCCTTTTGTAGGACTTAAACTAAATGCAGTTATCATCCAGTGTGCAGGTCGATGGGGGACTTTTAATTCAAATACATACCGTCCATGAGGACCGATATTAATATCTTGCCACATCCATACATTATCATAGTGTCTTTGAAGATGATTGTAACGAAACTTTCGAAAGTTATTAAAATCTGTATGATTATATAATAGACCTAGAACATAAAATATGCAGAAATTAATGAAGGTTTATGTATAAAAAAATTGTATGATTAATTTAAATTTTAAAATCTAAATTCAACTAAAATTTTTTAGAATAGTTTATACATTTAAAAATATATAAATATATATATTTTAAATAAGAATAGTCTGTACAAAAAATAAATGTATAAATATTTTAAAAAAATAAAGTTGATTCCATTACACAGCATATTAAATATATGGAGTGAAATCAGTTAAAACTATATTATTTGTGACATAAAATTTACATTAGTTATATAGACAACCACTATAACTAAATATATATCATTAGAAATTATTTTAAATGACAAATTTAAAAAACAAAGCTACTTTTTAGCTAATTTTTCCATCAAATTATACTGTAATACTTTAAAAAGATTTGATTTTATAATTCAACTTAAAATATTTGAAAACAATTTTTATAAGCAAATTAAATTAATTTAAATATTTTTAATAATTTTAAAATAAAATAAAATATTTACATAGAGCTTCATCAGTGCCATCATCACAATCAAAATGTCCATCACATTTCTTATTAGCCAAGTAACAGCGACCACTAAGGCATTCAGCATACCCTAGAGTTTGGTTGCATAAAGTCATTCGCCGAGGTAAAACCACATCAGTAAATACAACTACGCCAGCAAATCTAATAAAAATCAACATATTTAATAAATTGTAATGGTTATAATCAGGGCTTGCAAACGTTATAATAACGTTATATTTGATAAAAAACGATTGAAATTTGTAAACGTAATTATAATGGATAACGATAAACATAAATAAATAAATAACACAAAACAAAACATAACATTCAACAAAATATATGATATATCATTAAACAAAACATAACGCAAAACGGTATATATTGTATTCCATTAAACAAAATAATTGATTTCCAATAATTTAATAATACTTAGTAGTATTCAATTATTTATTCAATTCAAGAGTTAATTTTATTCCGTATGCGGCATATCAGGGAGATCCCGTATTAGATATTATTTTAAAATTTAATAAGAATGTATTAATAGAATAATTTAATTACCAATAGCTAATTATAGTGATACTCTGATAATATTGAACTGTATTATCTGTACTACGGTCAAAATTTATACCATTCAAGTTATTCAACTATTGTGTTCGGTGTTCAGTTTGCTCAGATTTGTTCAGTTATCATTCGTCAGTATTTGTCTAATTGTTGTCAAATGTTTAATATTTATATTTTATACTAATATACTTATAGTTTTAACGTGAATACGTTTTTTTTTTATATTAGTTAATTCATAGTTGAAATTCAAAATTTCAAAATAATAATCATGGTTTTTTTTTTATATTTATTATTTTATTATAAAGTCCTAGAGCCTAGACAATTTATTAAATTTAACAATACATTATTATTTATAACTCTTAAGATTATTTATTATCATACTGTTTTATCATTTATTTTGTTTCCATTTCTTTATGAACTACCTATGTATTGTAATTTAATTTGTATCACTGTACCCTATATTTTGTAAATAATATGTAATTGGGTTATTTAATCTATTTAACTAAATAAATAAAATAAAATAAATAAAATTATACAATACCTACTTAAAACTCAGAATAGGGAAATTATGTCCCCAAAAAAAGGTCATAGTCACTTTTAAATTGAATCCTGTATACTTTTAAAACAGGTATTTAAATGCTTTTGAATTTTAAATAACGATAAATGCAAAAATTGTATAACGTTTTTATTATGAATAACGATAAACACAAAAGTTGAATAACGTTTAAATTTTGAATAATGATAAACTCAACATTTGTATAACGTTTTGATTGTAAATAACGTAAAACAAATTTTTTTTCAAATGCAAGCCCTGGTTATAATTTTTTAAACATTATATACATTATATAAGTATACTATATTATAAATTAAATCTATCTTAAAAATAAATAATTATAATTCATAAATTGGAATAAAGATTTTTGGCCCTTCGATTTTATGCAACAATACACAATCAGTTTATCATTGATAAAATTAACTTGAACTATACCATTTATTTGATAACCAGTGTACTGGTAATAACCTGAATATAAAACAATAACTTGGGAAACACTCTTAATTTAACAAATGTTACTTTATTATTAAATAACAATTTAACAGTAGAAAAATAATTTATCAATAGATAATGACAAGTTTGGTACAACCCAGGGACGAAAATTGTGTGCAGTATGACTCACTTTGTATAGGTAATATAAAATGTTAAGTGTGTAGTACAACATTAAAAAATGTATGGTGATTCTATTATCTATATTATGGTATTTGTTTTTAATTTTACATTTTTTTACTAAATTATTTTACATATTTTTAAAATTTTAAGATGAGTCAACAACAAAATCTAAAATACCAACTATTTTAATTGTGTTACTCATTACTGTTAACATTTGAAAGGAGAGCATAACAAAATCCTTAAGTGTGCAGTACGATAAAGTATATACTTTAGCCTCTGGTGCAATCCAGCACAAAACTAATAATATAACACAATATAATAGTATAAAAAGATACTAAAAATATTATATAATGAAGTATAGATACATCAGATTTTTTTTAGAATACCAACACCTAAATAATTTTAAAAATGCGTGTAGAAATACTATAAGTTTTACACAATTACTGTTACCGTGTCGAAATTAAATGTGGTAGAATAAAAAAATAAAAATAACATTACCAATGGAGTCCTGTTATCTTTAATACACTGGCCTATATATTAGCTAATTTTTATTTTAACCCATGGTGAAAATCACTGTGAAATAAGTATAATTTATAATTGTTAACTTACTCAAACGTACGATTAGCATCTATTCCAAAAGTAGATGATGGAAAATAAACTATTTCGTCAGGAGAACCTTCATGAGATAACCATGTATGCATGATTGTACCATTTGTATCCTCGTCAAATCTTTCCATTTTAGTTAAAACCTAAGTTAAAATACATTAGTTAATATAAATGTACCCTTACAATATATTATTAATAAAGTTGTTGTATATATATATAAATATATACCTTGGCATATGTTAATTCATTTCCTGCTTGTAGACCGTAGAAAGGATAATCTAAACCTGATAATCCAACATATGCTCCAGGTTCACCATATATTGCTACTTCAACACTTTCGCCACTTCTGCTTTTTTGATTGTTAATAAAAACAGTGAACTGTAAACATTTATTATAATTACATACAATTATTAGTTTTTAAATTAATAATATTAATAAAAATATATCACAATGTCAAATCTAAAATATAATTTTCATCTAAACCTTACATTATTTCGTGATATTCCATTCACTGGAAAAGTTAAACTATCAGCTACTACATCTCCAAATTTACCAACATGGTATACAAGAATAGTTGCAGCAGGTGCCATTTCAGCAGATAGAGTAACAGCAAATGTACAAATGGTTGATGCATGTGTTACTTCTTGGCCAGTTAATAATATTATACCTTTTGAGAGCAAGATATAATCAAAAGACTCTAAATAGTAATTGCTTTGTACATGAAACACTATAAACTGTCCAACCTATAAAAATATAAACAATGATAAAAAATATTTTTAACGATACATATAATATAACTATTCTAAATATGATACAAATTAAATATTTTAATTTAAAATGTTTTATTAACTATTATTTATTATTGATAAAATTTATTTAAAAGTTATTGTTCTACTGGAGCGGTGATATAATGTATTATGTATTAAATTATTATAACCTTTGTATTAAATTACCTTAGCATCTTTAGTTGAAGTCCAAACTTTAAGATGATGTTGACTAGGTGAATAATGTGTAAGTAAAAGTAATTCTGTATTTGATCTTTCACCATACATGTCTTTAAATGATGCTAGAATTTTCATTGATTCAATATCTTTTAATATTTCTGAAGCACGTTTATCTTTATCAAGACCTAAGCATGCAATAATTAAAAATTAAGTGTACATTAATAATTGACTTTTATTATAGAAAATTGAAAATTTACCTAATTCTGTACGCAAATATAATTTCATTTCAAATACTCCTTCATGCTGAGTTGACATTTTCACCGTTCTCATTTCAATAGTTTTGCGTCCACCAGATTTCATTACCACTTCAGCAGACATATCTAAACGACCTAATAATAACCTGTACCTATCCAAAGGTGATCCATCATGATGAGAAACTGTTATCTAAATTAAAACAAATATACATTAAGATATTAAAATCTATAAAAATATTTAAATTTATATTAAACTAATATGAATAACTTGTATATAATACATACAAATAAATTATACTTACATACACAGTAAATGGCATAGCAGGTTTAAAAACTTGTGGTGAACCACCTAAAAAAGCAACTCTAACAGAAGAATTGAAAAATCTAGCAGTTGAATAGCCTTCAATAACTTCATTTAAATATCTCTCTCCTACAGTTGCTGTTATAGTAACCTCAGTTTCTTCTAAAGTAGGTACTAATTGCTGTAATTCACTTAAAGGATATTTGAATTTATAAACACCATAAAACTGAAAACAAAAATATTTAACTGAACATAATAAAACTTAAAAATATATATTTTGAATAAATTTGTTAATATTTCATGTCATTAAACTTATATTCTACATTAATTTAACTATAATTATATAGATATGAAAATTAAAAATTTCTTACCCATTGTTTATGAGGTATTTGATTTATTCTTGAGTATTCAGATTGTTTAGGAAACCAAGAAGGATATGACTCATCCTGAAGTAGAAGATATAATTTAAAATACACTAATTTTATATATATTTTATAAAATGTAGATGATAATCATATTTTTAACTTACAAAACTCAAATATTTTTCAACTACTGTACCATCATAATTTTTAAATCCATTTTTCAGAGGTCTTATTGTTGCTTTTAAAGTAAGATTTCCTTTAACAGGACCACCATTGGTGTAATTTGCCATTACATAACCAGTTAAATATTTATCTGAATCCAGGAAATAAGCCGGCATTGTCACATTAACCTAATTACACATGAATTAATAAGTAACTATATAATGAATTAAATAATCTTAATTGACTATAGCACTAATAATATTTACCTCAAACCGTGTTTGATAATATTCTTCTACTAAAAATGTGACTTCTTCAATCTGACCCTGAGCTACAACCTGAATTGTCCAATCTCCAAAAACAGGTTGATCAGACATTTCATAATTTAAACTTACACATCCAAAATTTGACTAATGAAATAAACAAATTACAAATATAACAATTTACAAACAGTTATATCAAAATATAACATAAGGCTAAATGCATACTTGTCTTGAAAGCCAACGCCTCATAATATGACGATTGGGGTCTAAGATGTATACATCAACAGCACTGTCAAAAGCTTTTAGCTCTGTATTGATTGGAATTGCTCGAAAATAAACTAAAGTAATAAAATTTTTTAATTTAGAAAAATAAGTAGAAGCTATAACATCAAAATATACAATGTATATATTATACACACCAATTTCTGATTGTTTGTAAATTGGTTTATCAGTTTGTATAAAAATTGTCATTGATCGTTGTGAAAAATTTAATCGAGTTTCATTTTTAAATGCATATCCACCAATAACACCATCATACAATCCTTCTACTTTTAATTTATATTCACCAGGAATACTAGTAGTTGGAACCTAAAATAAAGTCAACCCTTTTGTAATACATGTAACTCTTCATAAAAATCAAATATTGATTCTAACCAATAATAATAATGCTTCTTGAATTCCTTCTTTAATTACACTAATATCAGAAGATAATTCAACACCATTTCTTTGAATTGAAGCCCTAACAGATATTGGTTTTTTAGCTTTATAAACAGTAACAGACACCCTGTAAACTTGACCTGGTCTAACCATTCGACTTGCAATAATGAAATAATTTCTAAAAAGAACAATACATAATACATTATACAAATTAAAACAGTTAATAGAAATTAAACACTTACGCATCAGGGATAATGACATTATTATCAAAATTATTTTTCCAATCATATACGTTGTTGAAAGACTTATCATTTTGTAATTTTGTCGTTCGTGAATAATCATTTTCTTGAGCAACTAAATATGTTGGATATTCTTGTGCCAAACATAACTTAAGGAACAAAATGAATATTATAGACATCATTTTTGGAAAACTGAAAATATATAATTACAGCATTAACTATAAATGATGAATTAGAATTAAAAAAATATCAAATGGTCTATTTTAACTAAACAAAAAAAAAAAATAAAATGGGTAAAGCCAAAAATATATTTATTTTTTTTATTAAATTGCTTAATTCATGCATTGCATACTGTTTTTTAAAAAGTATTATTTTAAGATGTGAAGTATAAATTAATTATAAATAACTATGAAAATGAACACAAAAATGTATAGGATAAATGTTAAATTACTTAAAAAATTTGTATAATCTCCATAATATAAGAATGTTGCAATTTTTAACAATACTAGAGTATAATAAAATATTTTAATATCTTAATCTTTATGAAAGAGCACTTCTATACTACAATTTCATACATATTTCAGTTTCAATAATTAATACAAATAAGTGTATAAAATAATAACGGCTATAATTTAAATAATAATAACTATGATTGGTCACCAACATAATTTTACTATGAATACAGTAAAAAAATATTCAGGGTTTAAAGAGGCAAAAAAAGCAGGGGGGACTCTAATTCATATATAATTCTCAGCGTTCCATATAGTCCTATACAATTACTAGGTTATTAATTATAAATAGGTATACGAATATATATGTTATGAGGTGTTCTTAGTGAACAATTTCCACCACAAACAATTCATGTGATGTAAAAATGTACAAACTTGTAAATTATTTACTTATTGTTTTAAACAACTGATTGTTAATATCTTTCATAAATAAAATAAATTAAGAAACCATACTTATAATTATATATTATTTTATAATTTACATTTAATATTAGTTAATTATGTTTGTAGAACACTGTTTAATATCAAGTGACATATATTAAATTGTAAAGTCAATTTTTCAGAGAAATATTAAAGAGAGCACTTTATAAGTACTGTTTGAGTAGAAGGACCGAGTCCCCTTGCCCTGTCCACTTTAAACCATGAAAATATTGTGCATTATTATATTACATCTAATAAGAAAACAATGGAAAAAACAGTGTGATTTGAATGAACAGAGATAAATAAATTACTTGGTAACCAAATGGGTTGAAAATATTTAAAAATAAAGAAATTCAATCTTTTGATATACAACCTATTGGGTTTAAATTCACCGAGAGCAAAAAAACAAAGATCAACTAGTAAGGTGGTCTACGCCCAAATTAGACGCTAGAAATACCTGAAATTTAAACGCGCACGATGATCATACGTTCAGCATAATTTCTAACTACTCAGATCTGATTTCGAGTTTTCGCACGCAGATTTTCGAATGACAACGAAAGTAGAACTTCAGGAAAGTCGGTGACGGTGACTAAAAGATAATCGAACAACGGAGATATTTAGCCGCGGTAAAAATAAGTTATTACAGTTTTGTTTACCTGCTACGGTTTTCGATGTAATCTACGTGAAGTTATTCCACGCTGGCCCCGCCTTACTGCTGTTAGTGGTCGGTAACGAGTATTCGAAACCCGTTACAGCGAACTCTACCACGATTACCCCTTCAACCTCACCGCCCTGATATTGATGGCTGAAAGATCGCGCTAGATGATTAGCGTGTTAGACACGATTACGAATCACGTCGTTAAACGGTCGGTATTAGTCAAGGTTTATAGATAATAATCTAGATAATAATAATAATATTATCTATAAACCTTGGGTATTAGTCATGTTTAACTGTGAAAAATATTTATCACACTGTGATATTGCTACTGTGATAAAAAAAAATCACAGCGAAAGTAAGAGTGATGCTACTCTAACTGGTACTTTCTATTTTTCACGTATCTATGGCGAATCACATGTTTACTGTACATTATCAGAATATCACAGTAATCCATAGAGTTAGAATTAGTGATGGGCACTATCGAATAGTTTACAGCAGTGATTCTTATCCTTTTCTCATTCATGTCACCTTTAGCCACTAGAATTAAACACCGCGTCACCCTAACATCAAAATAATAAATAATCTTAACTGTGTATTTAGAATAATTCTTGAAATAACAAAAAAAATAAAAACAGAAAAATAATAAGTACACCTACAATTTATTGAGTTGCAGGGTTCAATAAACATTGATATTATAAAGTTTGTACTTAAAATTAAAAAAAAAAAGAAAATTTTTTAAAGATTTTTATACTTGTTATTTGTTTTATTTGTATATAATAATACTACATATCTAACGACTGTAAAATAACTAACGACCCCGGTTAAGTCGATAAAAAAATCGATAATACATCGATTTTGCGTTAATAACAATACTGCACGTATTCATTGGATCTAAGTAATATAAAGATGTTAACTTAAAGGTATGCTATTTACATGACTGTTGTGGTAATAATATGGTTTTATTAAAATTAATTTTTTTCTAATTTTTTTCCTTTTCCTGTGGAGATTTCGTGTCACCCCTACACTGTGTCCATGTCACCCTTGGATGACATGTCACCCCGGTTGAGAACCACTGGAATACAGCATAAACTATCGAATATTATAGTCGAATATTATTTTGTATGACCAAATAGTTTTTCCATGATAAACTATTCGAATATAACGAATAAAAAATCAAAACATTAATGTTAACGTTTTCTGTTGTTATTATTATCAGTAATCAGTTATCACATTAGTGAATAGTACGGTTTAAGATAGAAAAGTTGCACATCAGGGTATACTACGTAATGTTAGACCGCGGTGTACGAGAGTTCTTATCTAACATACGAAAAAGTGAACTACTACTAACGTTCACTTAATGTGAAATCTCATCACTATTCACTGTAGTCTATGTTTGGTTATTGGTTTTGTGAATTTTCTATTACGTTTATTGCCTTTGGTCATTATGCCTAATTATTGTGCAATTCGTGAGTCATATAATGTGTCTAAGACTCTTTTTGGCGTTCCTAAAGAAGACGAATTAAAAAAACTTTATGTATTTGAGTTACAAAATTAATTCCACAAGTTTAATGCATATTTTTAGATACATTCACAAAAGCCTCATATACAATGGAAAATTTATGAAAATGTATTTAATTATGATCTCCAACAATTAATTAAAGTGTGTCTTAAAATAAATAAAAATCATTTAGAACTTAATAATTTGGCAAAAATGAAAGTTAAATATGCCAGTCAGGTAGTTGAATTTTGAAAATATATTTGTTCTTCTTCTAGTTAATTGATTGTTATAGATTTTTAGTAGGTAAATCGATGGCAGTTGAAATTGAGTTTTATAAGAAAAAACATTATCAAGGGTTTGAAAATCGTGAAGAAACGATAAAATTTACCCTTTTACGAATAACTTATTTGATGCCCTTAATAAGAAATTTCCGGTTAGAACATGGAAATATAAAATAAGAATACAATTTTTATGGTGTTTATGTAAGCAACTAGATAGCGATATAATGTAACTTTTAACAGATTTCTGATAAGAACAACTGGTGATCACAAAATAATGACTCGTGCAACCATTCTATTCAAAGCTATGGTGAATACAGTGGCGTAGCCAGGATTTTTAAATGGGGGGGGGGGGGCTAACCACTTTTTTGGATAAGTAAGGTAAGAGAGTATATGAGAATTCACCCTTAACCCCCCACCATCTACCACCAAGTTTCTAAACGTAATTTAAGCATTTTAGTATAGTTTTAAAAATATTTATTAATATATAATTTATAATAATAATAATAATTTTGGTTTCAGTGTTCAGTCACTTGCTCCACTCTGACAGCTGCATCCTCTTAGTCGAATTTCTGGCAAATACAGTTATTATTTCTCTTTCATCGAATTGCTCTTTTTTATTTATATTAGCCATAGCTAACCCATTCAGTCTGTTTTCCGACATTGTGCTTCTTAAAAAAAATTTTAAGCGATTAAGTGCTGAGAACGTTCTTTCTGGAGTGAAAGAGATAACTGGTAACGTGGCGAATAATTGTAAAAGTATTTTAATGTTAGGTCGAAGATTGGTGCGATGAGAGAGTGAATCAAGAGCAGAATTCGGTTTTGGAATAGTATTTTGACTCCATTGTTGCCTCCATATGAACAGGTCAGCTCTGATTGTAGATGAGGTATCATCATGGAGATCTTGGACATATATTTTAGCAGATTTTATAATATTTTTATCGTCATACATATTTAAATTGGCCGGAATAAGTCCTTCAAGTGGCATAACATCAATAAGCCTTTGATTAAAACGAGCATCCATTGATTCTATTAAACAGTCAAGATACATTATACATATAATCACGGTCCATGGGAGGGCTATAGCCCCCTTAGCCCTCCCCCTTGGCTACACCACTGGGTGAATAGGTATCTTAAAATAAAATAAACATTAATTAAGCTAATTTCAAATTTTACTGAATATTTCAGCATTCGTAAATTATCGAATAATTGAATAATTTGAAATTATCGAATAGTCGGAATAGTTTCGAAAATTCGGAACAATCAAATATTTTAAAAAACTATCGAATAATTTGAATGTATTAAGTGCCCATCACCAATTATAATACTACTCTACTATTTATTCGTGATATCAGATAATATTTACCTAATGTAAATGTGACATAATATTAATCATTATTTAACACCTATGAATAATAACTAATATAATAAATTAACAAATATTATAATATTAATAAATATCTATCTAAAATCACGAATTTGTATTTTTTAATATGTGTAATTTTAATGAATGGTATTTTATCTAAAATATATTCTATTAATAAAAATATTGTATTATATTTCAATCCACGTTAAAATTATTTATCTCCCACTATTTTTAGTATCTACAGTCTTAACATCGATTTATCTACACTGTGACTATATAATGCACACAAGTGTATAGTACTATAGTAAGGCACTATAATATATACATAGTGCCCTAACTTTAGTAGCACGTAGCAAGAAGCAACTAGCAATAGTCGCATATTATTATTTCATAAATCATAGTGTTAAACATTTTTCACAGTTGGACAACTTAACAGATTTGTGATATCATCACAATGTGATAAAATCACTGTTATATTATTTATGAGTAGCAGTCACTGGTACTGCTACTTATTGGATCACTGTAAAAAGTAGCAGTGACTGCTACTTTTTAACATCACTAGTCGGTATCAGACTTAGGTAGTATTCAGAATAATTTTAAAATATTAAAAATACTTTTTAAATACTTTTTTTGAAAGCATTCAAGTATTTTGAATACTTATAATGAGTATTCTAAATACTGTATTTAGAATACCGTCAAATCATCTCTTTTTTAAATAATTTTATTACTTTTCCGTCGTATCTTGTATAAGCTAATATTAGGTATTTATTATTGTTGTAAACCATAAATTATAACAGTTATGTAATATAAAAATACAATAAAATAACATATATTTAGTCTACAATGTCAATTATTTCTGTTGAGTGGACATCTATTATTTTTATAGTAAGAAAACAAGAAGTATTTTAAAAGTATTCGGAATACTTTTGAAGTATTTTAAATTATATATTCGGAATACAATTTGTATAAAGTATTTGAATACATATTCGGAATACTATTTTTTTAAGTATTCGAGTATTTATCCTAAATACTTTTAAAAAGTATTTTACTCAAGTCCGGTCGGTATATTAGATCAGTGATTTTCAACCTGTAGGTCGCGACTCCCAAGGGGGTAGATATTGGTTTGAGGGTCGCCAAAAAATAATGGACGAAATGATTTTCCCTATTATTTAAAAGTAAAATAAAGTTGGTTATTTATTTTGGTACTTATCGGTTATCGCGACTACCATAACTGTTTGGTAATAAACAATTGCATAAAAACTATTATAAAAACCAGGGCTTTGCACCCAAATTAACCCGAACCCGTAACATCCCTAAAAACCATTAAAAAATCAAACACCCAAAACCCATATAACCCGAATTAACCAAAACCCAAATAATTTTTTATTTTACAATTCTACATGACATATCATTTTTTTATACATTTTTTGTAGTTATTTTAATTTTATCATTGGTCGTTTAATAGTAAAATTATTATTCACAGGAATAATTTCACAAATAATTCACAAGATTATTAATTAATCTAAGTTTATCTAATAAAGACAATAGCGATATATCATATTAATAGGTGTGCGTGAATGGTATGGTATGTTGATTGTTCAAATGTAAACAACTGGAATACTATTTTTAAAATTTTCCCTAGCGGATACGTCGTATTATTATACCTATTTTATAAAATAAAATATATAAATTATATAAAATATATTTTATTATAAATACACGTGTATTGTCTAGTAGTAATATAACTGTGTTTTAGTCATTTTAAATATCATACCTAGTTAAGTAAAATAAGCAGTTAAAATATTTTTGTAAAACATTTGTGGCATGTTTGCAAATGTCAAAGAAATATAAATTTACCTGCATACGATAAGATAGTATTTAATTTTGTCACATAAGAAATTACACGCAGCGGTTTGTGATGAAAAAGACCTTACTAAATTTTAGTTAAGACGACAGCAAGAGAATTCTGTAATTTCTAAAGCGGCTTTACTTATATCAATACCTTACGCATCAATATATCTTTGTGAAACTGCATTTTCACAACTTTAAATTATAAAAAATAAACATAGATCATGCATTTCGCATAAGTCTTTAGAAGCAAATTTGCATACATTGTATACATAATGTTCAGATGTTGGAATATTATATCTGTGTTATAAAATTATAATATTATTATTATTATTATTATATTGTCTTATAAATATAAAAGGTAATTATAAAATTTACCCTGAATACTTATGTATTTATATTACAACTTATAATTATACGTAATTTATGAATATAAATATTTTTTAAAATAACATCAAAACAAAATAATTATGACTACAATAATAATAATAATAATAATAATAAATAAATAGGTATTTTAATTATTAAATATTAAATAGATTTAAGAAATGAGGTAAATTATTCGCTAAAAATGTGAAGTCAATTTTACTACAAAAAAGTTGAAGTAGTGTAGGGAGCTTTAAATGTTGTTGCCATAAGCTTCTGCACGGAGTAGTCAGGGTAGGTACTTGACTACTTTGTGAACTACTCTCTCTCACCAAAATATTCAATATTATCATAATAATAAATAATCATTTTGTAAAAATATAATTATAAAGTTAAAGGAAGTTACTCATCCAAATTTGTTGTTAATATTAAATGAACTAATAAATGTTAATGTGTTATGTATGACTACCATGCCAGTAATGTCTGGGCATGCTTATGGTTGTTACCCTAGGGCGTAATTGGCAATTAGGATGACACTGATTACGAGTACTCCGCTGCTTGTTAAAACGATTTTTCGCATTATTGCGATATTATAAAATAGTGGCACCCACAGGTTTCCCAAAAAACCAGTGCAGTTATTATTATAGAGCTCCAAATTTCTTTTGGTCTACATCCATACGACTATATTGGTATGATAGAAATAATTGTTTTTTTTTTACATTTATCTTAAATAAATGTAATAATATTGCAAATTCCTGTACAACATTTTTTTAATAGGGGTTTGAATTTAAAATTTTACAAAAAAAAAAATCTTCACCGGTTGATATTGCTTAAAACAGTTTTTCAAATACAATAACTTATTGATTATTAAAATTTTCAATGATAATATTACAACATACATAATAGTTTTGATCAGTAATTTAATTTAAAGCATTGATGTGTTGACTTGTTTTACAAAATGTATTTATTACATCATCATCATTTAATTCTATATCAGCGTTTCATAAACTTTTTTATCCGAGGAACCCTTTTTGACGTCCATTTTTATCGTGGAACCCCTACTTTGTTTTCTGGCTTTTAAGCTTTTTGTTAGGATTATTTAAAAATAAAAATAAAAAATAAAAAAAATATAATTATTTCATATACTTATATTGTGTTAAAGGTACTTAATTAAAAAATATGTTAAAAAAAATAATAAAAATAATAAAAATTGTATATAATTTTATTTTAACAATAATTACTTAATGAGATGCGTGAAATTGCTTTTTATTATTACAAATATTTTTAATATTGGGCTTTATTGATGAAAGTTGTAATAACATATTAGGTTCGGCATCAAGTCTGTTGCGATATTTTGTTTTTGTCGATACATAGGTAGAGAACCCCGTTTCACACATATACGTGGTTGAAAATGGTAAAAGTGCCAATACGGCCTTTTGTGACGATTAAGGATATTTATCATTTGAACTGCACCAAAATTCTGCTAATGACATTGATTTAAATTTTTCTTGCAGCGATGAATCAGATGTAAATTCAATAAAGGTTTCATATTCTTTTGCTGACATGGCTGGAGGTCGTGTATTGACAATAAATGGATTTTTAATCCACAATTTATTTTTATTTTTCACCTGTTGGTCATTTGGAAAATACTGGTTGAATCCTTCACTCAATCCAGTGAGGTTCTGAATAATTTCCTCAATAAAAACTTCATTAATTTCGACCTCTTTCTCTTCCGAAAAGCATTTAACTGTCAGAAAGCAATCAAACTCGTTGGAGCTCATACAAATTTTCCAAAAATCTAACTTTTTCTTAAAAGCATGAATTTTTTCGTGTGCAGTAAAAACATTTACGTGTCTACCTTGAAGTGTGAAATTAAGCTCATTGATCTTTGTAAAAATATCACTTAAATAGGCAACTTTAAGTAGCCACATTTGATCAAGAAATCGATCTTTTAATTCGAAATTGTGTTCCAAAAAAAAAGCACGTACCTCGTCCCTTAATTCAAAAATACGAGTTAGTATCTTTCCTCGAGATAACCACCTAACCTCGGTATGTAAAAGAAGAGAAGTATGAACACTTCCCATGTCCTCACATAGGATTTTGAATAAACGATTTTGAAGAGGCCGAGATTTTATGAAGTTTATAATTTTTACGACTTCATCAAAAGCTTTCTTAAAACTAACAGATAACTTTTTCCCATAGTATTTCATTTCTTTCAAGAAATGAATTTAGAAGATCAAATATTTCAGCTCCAGTAGTACGTGTTGGTAGAGATTTGCATAAAAGAAGATCTTCCAATAATGTGCTTTCGTGTTGATACCTAACGATGACAATTAATATTGTAAGCCCAGCTACATCGGTAGACTCATCCATTTGTAATGCAAATTTGCACAATTTGAGACGAAAAATAAGTTCATTCTGTATATCGGCTGCTAAATTATTGATACGATTAGCTACTGTTGTACCAATGAAACATTTAAAAGCCTCCACCGGTCATTCTGTTAAATTTTTAAAAATTCTCTCCCACAACTCTTGGGGTGGAGAAATAAACACTATAATTAAAATTCATAAAGTTTTAATCCAATCAAAACTTAACTATGGTTCATCCCTTTACAGAACAGCATCCAAATCCCTCCTGAACTGGCTAGATAGTGTTAATAATTGCGGTTTGAGACTGGCTTTAGGAGCTTTTCGCAGTTATCCTGTATATAGTATTTATAATCCCGCTGGTACACCCATTCCTGATATAAAAAGGCTGGAATTACATCTCAAATATTTAGCAAGATCTTCAAAATCAAATAACATCATTCACGAAAAAAACAACCACCTCGTCATAAAAGAGATGAAAGACAAACCTCGATATATCGCAAATCATAACCAAAGAAAAAATGTCCCAACCTCCTTGGGCCAGCTCATATCTAATTAATACAGAACTTAGCTGTCTTCATAAACATCAAACCTTGCCAAATATTTTCAAAAGCTTCTTTAAAAGCATTATAAGTAAATACAAAGACTTCCAGGAAGTATACACCGACGGTTCAAAAACTCATAAAGGTGTAGGATTCTCGATTATATTCCTAAATAAAAAAATTATACACAAACTACCTCCGGAGTGCTCCATATTCACTGCCGAAGCTACAGCCATACTTATGGCTATCGAGACTATATTACAAGAAGCCCACTCGAAATTCATCATTCTCAGCGATTCATTGAGCACTATAAGAAGTCTGCAAAACCTTTTCAATACCGGTGATATTGCATCCAAAATTCTGAACAACCTCAGCCTAGCTTCCTGTCTGGGTAAAACTATCGTCATCATGTGGATACCGGGTATAATAGGCAATGAAATAGCCGATTAATATGCCTCATTCGCCATCAACAACAAAGAACCCGTCTTAATTAATAAAATGTCATACGACGACGCGAAAAAACTCATAATTGAACGTACAAAATATAAATGGCAAAAAATCTGGAACATACAAAACACAAAATTAAATGAAATAAAAAGAGACATATACCGTTGAATTAATCCTAACCTCAACCGTAAAGAAGATATGGTTCTTAATAGACTCCGTACGGGTCACACCAGAATTACTCATGGCTTTCTGATGGCAAAAGAGGAACCCCCCTCCTGTCAAACCTGCGGAACCTTGTTAACAGTCAAACATCTAATAGCCGACTGTCTAAGGTTCAATCAAGAACGAGCCGAACACAAGATAGCCCACAACCTAGACACTTCACTTGGACCCAACCAAAAAAATAACCTTGATTTAATTAATTTTTTGAAACAAACAAAACTTTTCAATCTTATATAAAAAATTGTTATTATTATTAGTTCTTATTTAGTATAATAACCTTATTTGTAACTAATGGCCTTTGTTGTCGGTGTTATTTTTGTGATCAATAAAAAAAAAAATCACATTTAAAGAAAAATGCAAACCCTTTGTGTATATATACCCACTGTTTAGGTCATGTATTAAATTTAGTGATGGTAGATCAGTGGCGGCTCGTAGTGTTAAAAATAGGTGGTGCACAAAATAATAACTAATAAGCATTTACTATGATGTAACATGTTTTTACAGGTTTAAAATAACGTATCTTTTATTTTATTTTATATATAGTCAGTGGCGGCTCGTGGGTTTTTAATGAAGTAGTGTACATCCAAAAAAAAAAAAAAAAAATAACCAATATAATATATATATATATATATATATATATTATAAATTGTATTAAATAATTGTTTTCAAATTTTAGTTATTTATCAATTACTTTTTCTTTTGCTTATACCTATTTTTACAAGTATAATAATAATAAATATATAATAATAACAATAATACATTTTCAAGTAAAAATACTATGATAAAGTAGATACAAATTATTATATTTCAGGTACATATTTATATGTTAAATCGATTCTCCTCTCTTTTTTTTCTGCAAATCTGTTGATTACTTCTTCGTTGAAGTTTGGAATGTTATTGATCATCCGTTTTTCGATCGATAACATTGCTAGTGCTGTAAGTCGATCTTCTGTCATTGACTTTCTCAAAAATGTTTTAATACGTTTTAATGTAGAAAACGATTTTTCGGCTTCAGCTGTAGTCATTGGAATAGTTGAAATTATTTTTAAGAGTTTGTAGCTTTCAGAAAATATTAGTGTTAAATTATTTTCAACTATAAATTTCAGTAAATGAACTGTTGAATTAATATCACGGAAATCGGTTCTTTTGTGGAACAGTTGTAGTTCAGTTTTAAGTTTAGTAACATCCAAACTAGGATATGCTTCAATAGTTTTATTAAAATGGTCACTTGGAAAGTTATTTTCGTACATAGGAAATTTGGTAGATAAAAATAGGTGCGAAGCATTTAAGTGATTTTTTTTAATCAAACCGTTCTTTAACGTTGACAATAAAAATGTCACATACTTCTTTTGCAGCGATTTTTCTTGTTTTAATAGTATCATCATGTCTTCATTTTTTCGTTAGATGATTTTGAGAGGTTTCAAAGATGTTATCAATATTCTGTCTTTATTTTAATATATTTTCTTCGAACCGAAAAATTGCCTTTGAGAGTTCTACTGGATCCATAGTTTGTTTTTGTAGTTAATTATATAGAATATCAACATGGGGCATTAAAGAATGAAACACTCTTAACCAAAATATAAATCTATCATCAATTAACATCCGATGCAAAGCTCTAGCTTGATTAATTGCTATGGTTTGATTAAATGTTGATTCAATTTCTTTCATACATTCAATTAATGACTCTAGATTTTCATACACAGTATTTACTATTCGAATTTTAAAATTCCATCTAGTATTAGATGATCGAGGAACTCTGTGTTTAACAATTTTATCCGAAACCGTAACCCGCTGTGGACTGTTGGAAAAAAAATTGGTTATATCAGTTAAGTTTGAAAAAAAAATTCTTATCTCACGATTTTGTGAAGTTGCTTGAATTAAAATTAAATTAAGCTGATGAGCATAGCAATGTATGAAATGTGCATTTTTATAGCTATTGTTTATTATTTTTTGTACACCTTTGAGACGTCCACTCATCACGTTTGCGCCGTCGTAACTCTGACAAATCAACATATCTGGTGACTCTAGGACTTTTTCCAAATTGAATATTATGCATTCAGACAACGATTTCGCATCGTGTCCAATAGGATTGAAAAATCCCCAAAACCTTTCTACTGGTGTTCCATCCGATAGTAAATATCTAAATATTATTGACAATTGAAACTGAGCAGATACGTCAGTTGTTTCGTCAGCAATTACAGAAATATATTCTGCTTGTTTTATTTCATTTTTAATTCTTTGTTGACATACAGCTAAACAACATTCTAGTAAATCATTTTGGATTGATTTGGATAAACCTTTAAATACCGAAGAGTTCTCAATATGACATTTTAGTACCGAATCTAACTCTGAACTAAAGTTTATAAGACCTCGAAATACGCCGGGATTTTCTGAATTTAATTTTTCATCGTAACCTCGGAGTGCAAGCTCAAATGCTCCACAAAATTTAATACAATTTATGATTTTATTCAATATATAACGATTATGACCAGGGTTGAAACGTTTAATACGGTATAGTATAAAACACGTATTATAAGTACGTATAAAACGTATAAAACATATAGTATAGAACACAAAATTATATACGTTTTATACTGTATAAAAATTCATTTATAATATTTAAAGTTTAAATTAAACTTATTAAACTAACTATAAAATAAGGAAACATACATTATAAATAGACAATTGTGGTGCTATTATATATTAATAATTATCAGTATCTTATCGCAGACATATTTATAGTAAATCTATTGTACTTGGAACTTGTGATATTTATAACATTTTCAATATTTTTTTTTTGTTGTCATTCGATTGAACACAAAAAATTAAAATAGGTTTCTGCCTTCTGGTATAGTATATTATTTATATTTTATTATTACATTTCATTAGTCTGTGTCTTGTTATCGTCGCATTCGCACGTTATTGTGCTATACACAAACACAATTTTGAATATAATTCAATATAATTTTATTATTTTGTAAGTAATTTAAAAATTCAAATAAACAAATATGACTGTTCGTCCAACACATAGTGGATGGGATGTTAATTATAAACGGCACAAAGAAGAAGCAAAAGGTAAAAAACGTTAATTAGTGTATCTAATAATTACTTAAAAAATAAAATAATATAAAATCTAATATATATATATTATTAATTCATAGGTAAACAATTAGCAAAATATTTACTTTGTTCAAAAATATTGTCCAATACGAGTAAATCACGTTTATTGATGCACCGTAATACTTGTAATACTTCAAAATTATTCAAAATAGTTACAACAGGAATTAAAAAATCTACTCATTCTACTGCTACTAAAATTATCCGTAATGAAGAACCGCCAGTATTAAAAATAATGGGTAGAGCATCTTCTCCTATCTTACCAGTAGCGTCAAGTTCAACATCTGAAACTCAAACTCAAGGTAAACGTAAACATATAAATATATTTGAATCGGATTCAGAACCAGATGATCCATTTAATAATGCAAATTCATCTACTACTATGCCTAATTTAAGTTTATATACATCCACTGTATGCTTATCGATTCCATTAGAAGCTGACAATGATGTTCAACTCGTAAGTTCTTCACGTGAAAAACAATTAGAAATGTCTAATTCTAATGATACTATAATACTAAGTCCTGAAAGTTTTACCTCAAAAAATTCTAATACATTCGTTACACTAAAAAATAAAAATAAACAGTAGGATACTATTCAACGTTACCATGATAAAATAACAAATGCTGAAATTGATTTAGTTAACTTTAAATTGGGAAAATTGTTTTTTGGATGCAATATTCCATTTTCTGTAGTCGAATCGGTACATTTTAAAGATTTTTGCCAATCATTAAGACTCGCATATAATCCACCATCACGAACTACCCTATCAACTCGCGTTGAAATGAAGTACACGATAGTTTTTGTGCAGCTTTAAAGTTTCATTCAAATTCAGCTCTTCTAATAGATAGTTGGAAAAATGAGGCAGCTAATATAAAAAAATGTTGCTTGTTTACTGCATAGTTCTAATGGCGAAGCACTTTTCTTAGAGTCTTTTGATTTAACCGGTATTAAAGAAACTGCAATAGGACTTTCTAATATAGTGTATAAATGTATATCTTTAGCTTTAGAAAAACACAGCACTTATATTTACACAGTAATTAGTGATAATGCGGCAAATATGATAAAAATGAGTAAACTTTATGAGTATAAAATTTAATAGGAAAAGACTTATTTTTTATGTATACAAATAGTCGATACTATTAACTTGGCAACTGCAAATTTTACTTAAGAATATGAATATAAAAATATATTATATTGATATATTCTGTCTGTAGCAATATTTTTTATTATTTTCTTTTTAGATAGGTACCGATTCAAAAGAGTGGAAAATGAAAACAGCAAACAAAAAGATATTTTAAATTTTTATAATTTATAATTTATATATTATACATAATTTTTAACTACCTAATATGTTTTTGGTTTTTAGTTTTTACTAAGTATAAAATAGTAAGTATTTTTAATTTTTTAAGAGTGAATTTTAAAATCAAAACATATACGTTTTAGTCATTTTATACGTTTTATACGTGGGGTATTATACGTGTAACGTATTAAACGTTTTATACGCGTATATTATCAACCCTGATTATGACTTATTTTTTCATTGTATTGATATTTGTTTGATATTCAACCGATACGCATAAGAAAGTTGTTGTCTTATGTCTTGTTTTCCTAATAGTTTTAAATTTAATTAAGAATTTATGTGTGTCATTGATTTTAGAATTTAAATGAATTAAATCGTTTATTCCATTCTTTACCCAAGCGGCATCATTAGATTTTTGACCAAAAAGTAGACAGGGAAAACAATACAAACGATTTGTTTCTGAACAACCACAAATCCAGTCATGGGTTTTATGTATATCATTTTTAAATTGTCTTACATAATCTCTCGTTTTACATTTAGTTATTTGTTTAATATTTAAATCTGGAGTAGGCCTACCTGTATTTTTTATCTCCATCTTTTTCTCCAACGAGATTGATGAAAAATTACATTGCAGAATTTGCTGTACTGAGTTCATTTTAAAAATTGAAAACAAATACACGAATAACATTAATGTCGGTCGTCAGAAACACGATTGTCACGATTAATGTTTTGAATTTCCGATAATGATCGACTAGCTAATATGATCAGCTGATAATCGGAGTATAACAAATGAATGAGAGTAAAAATAAACTATAATAACATAATAATGCCGATGCCAACGCGCAACGACGCGGTGACGTCGAAAATAATTCGCTGAAAACAATTTAATTGGTTATGTGCACACAAACAAATGTGCACACCAATTCCATTACAACGCGGGCTGCGTGTATCGACTTGCTTTAATTTTTACACGGTACAAATGTGCACAACGATTGTGTGCACAACTGCACTATTATAATAGTACACGCCGATACCGTTCCGTCGCGGACAGCCGTTTAGCAGTCGAAATAGCCCAATCCAACTATTAAATATAATATTATAATATCATTATTTTCATAATATTCTGAGTTTATATTTTTACATTTTGAAAATAATCCTTATTACATCACAGGTACTTAGTTGTGTTATTATGATGTATGTTTTCAATTTTTCTTGGGTTTAGGTAGGTAGTGCACATACACACGAGCCGCCACTGTGGTAGATTCATCTGAATGTTGCAAAAATTCTGAATTTTTCTTTGGGTTAGTTTAACAATCTGCTACTTTTCTTTTAGATTCACATAAAAGAATGAAAGTATGGCCAGATTTAACAAAACAAACTCATAAAAGTCACAATAAACTCAAAAAATTGAACTTGATTGGAACGACCAGATGGTGGAGTAAGGACAAGGCATTATCCTCTATAATTCAGTTCAACAAGTTTAATGTAAAAGATTCTCGATTCATATTATTCATATATTTTTTATTAGAAATAACTTCTAGTGATTCAACATTTGATGCAAAAACTAAATACACGGCTCATACTCTTTTACAAAATTGGTCAAAATTTGAAATAATTTTAACTGCTGCTATTTATCTTGACATTTTTACTATAAGTTCTCCTGTTTCAAAATTCTTACAATCACGCTCATTAAATTATCTGATAGCTTTTAATATGACAACAAGCTTAGTAAAACGAATTAAAGAAAAAAGAAACAATGGTGATGAAACATTTAATAAACTTATTTCTAATGTTCAAAATTTTATAATGAAAATTAATGAGGAATCGGAATTAAATAATATAGATTTTAGAATAAAAGATAAGTTTATTAAAAATAAATGTGTAAATAGAGTGCCAAAAATAAAAAAAATGCCTGGTGAATTAACATCAGATGAAAGGCCTGACTTTTCCGCAAAAAAAAAAGGTTTAAAGTGGAAACATACAACTTTATACTTAATATTATAATAAATAGTATGGAAAAAAGATTTGTTAATTATTCAGAATTACTTAAAGATTGTATTTGCTTAGACCCTAAAAATTTTAAAAATATTAAAAGTGGTTTACCTGAAAACTTACCATTAAAACTTGCTGAATTAACAAAAATAAGTGTACAAATTTTAAATTTCTGAACAATTATTGTATATAACAAAATTTTATTTGCAATACAATTTGATTCAATAACTAAAAATTTTAATGACACATTTTCAAAAAATTAACTATCTTTTGAAAATGAATCCGACTCAGAACCAGAAATAAATATTGACCACAGTTTGGAATGCAATACATGTAACAATTGTTTAAGATGTGCTTTTAATATTTTGTACGAAATTGTTCAACAATCGGGCTCTTTTAATAATATATACTTGGCATATAAATTTGTTTTGACGTTACCATGTACACAAGTTACATATGAACGGACATTTTCCAAACTTAAAAACATTAAAACTAAATTAAGATCATTAATTTCTCAAGATATAATGGAAGCTCTGTTAATGATTAATATTGAAAGAGACTATGTTGTTGATAAGGAAATTGTTGTAAATACTATTGCTAAAAGTTCGTCAGAACTATCAAGGTTATTGATTTGAGATGTTATTAATTTATGTTATTTAATTTGTTTTACCTTTTATATCTTTAATATTAATATTAATTAAAATAATAATTAAAATAAATATGAATCCATGACACAATTTGAAATGGTGTTTTTCTTTATAATGTTTGATGTCACGGCGGTGTAGCGAGAGTAGTATTTTGGGGGTTGGATTCCTGGAAGGAGGGATTAGCCCTGTCTGATAATAAAAACAGACCTATGGTTCTGGGAACTATAAAGAATCTGCAGAAAATGTCTTAACATTTGAGAATAACTATTGAAAATAGTGTAAAACGAGTAAATATATCGAACGTTTGAATTTTAGTTAGGTACGTATTTAAGTATTGTGCCCATATGAGTATATAATAAATATATGATATATAATATATAATATATGATAAATATGAAAGATAGCAATTATATTGAAAAAAAAAATTAGTAATGTACATAAAATTGTATTGCGAGCGTAGCGATCTTATTTTTTGGGGGGGGGGGGCTACTGTTGGGGGCCCTTAATCGCCCAAATCGCTGACTGGGCTTTTTCGAGTCAGTCCGAAACCGAATCTTGGGACGGCTTCCTGAGTCCTGACACAAACTACAGACACAATCAATACTATTATAGTTATCAATATTAGTTATTAATAATAACTTATTATATATTTATATTTGTTTGCATATTTGGCGCTGCCAACTCTCTATGTTTTATTCAACCATCTAAAGATCCAAATGAATAGTTATGCATTGTGTTTGTTTCAAAGACCATAGTAGGGCCCTCAAATGTATGTAGGCCCCGGGACCCATGATAAATCAATGCTATTGTACCACTTATTACCCTACGTAGATGCCACTATATATACCTATATATTTTAATGTATTTTTAATTGTTTATGTTTATAAATTATTTTGGTAATTATAATATTCTTTTACAATTGGGCCAATCTCATAATATTTATTTATAATATATAAATAATACACTACTTCAATCAAGTTGACACACGTAGAACGTCAAGGTTCTTTAACACACTCACTGTACGAGAATATCTGATACGGAGTTCGGATAAATGATGACACTGAATTTAATCGTTCCAGAATCGACTCGAGCGTGAAACACATAAGGATAGTGAAATACGTAATAGTACAATAATACATAATAGATACATGACTACGTTTCATGTGTTTATGCAGTGTCCGAAAAAAACGAGTCCTTGACGGCAGCGGTTTTTGTATTGGATAGCCTGTAAAATACTGTTTACGACAAACGGCTTTCTGTACATACAATACACACACACGAGGTTTGTCCTCGACTCCTCGCTCTACTCATCACCACCACACGACGCTTTGTCCCTCGTTCCCACCGGTCCTCCGTTCATCATTCGTTTGTTTTGTTCAACACTGAACCACTCCGCACTCTGTACACTGCTTTTCTACGACCGACACTCATCGTCACACATTCCAGTATAATATAATTTCTCACCACTTGCGCACGCATTCCATTCTTACAGGTACGTTATAATTATTATTATCATTTTTTTCCCCTATTGTTGTTTTCACCCGTTAATACCTCTTGCACGGGTTATGAATAATAGTTTCGATTCGCCTACTCTGTTGCGTATACACACGTTGTTTTGTTTATTGTCATCGTTAAGATGCGTCACCCACGACAACACTCAACAGTTGATGTTAATTGATTTGCACTCGTATATTTCAGGTGTTCTTTGGCCGAGAAATACACGTATAGACTTCAGTCCGCTACTAAACGATACCATTACCATGGCGTTCAAAGGATTGTCTCTACTAGTGACCTTTTTCGCGTTCTACAACTGTACCGTGATGGGTGAGTTGTCGATTCGCCCTTTTTTTTTCTCCGTTCTGCTACTTATCCGGAATTAAAAATATCAACAGCATTTGTGAGCGGTTTCGCCGTTTTACCTGCGTTCTTCGCATAGTATTCGATAACAATACTAGTTGTTATTATAATTACTCGCTCGACGTTACTTACAGTTTGTCTTATTATTATAATAGTTTTAACAAAATTCTCCGGTTTTTTAGGTGTCATTTTTTGAAGTAGTTTAATTTTAGATGAATTATTAGTACTGGTCTAGATGATCTCCGACAAGAAAGTATTCCCTCGCCATTCAAGTAGTTGACGTCCACCACTTAATTTCTCGTGTTTTGTGTTTTAGATGTTATAATAAATAATCAATGATTTAAAAAATAATACAATAGTTATTTATACATTATACATTTATGACTATACATATAAATTCAGGTAATCAAAATAAAAATAGATAAATTATATAATATATTATGAATAAATAAATCGTAAAAAAAATTATACATCTTTCATATTTGAATAAATAAATGTTAAAAATAAAAAAAATTATGTGGGTGGCTAAAACTCTGCTATGTCCTTCAGAATTTCTTTAAATTGACCGCGGCTGTTTAATTTACTTCGCCACATAAACTTTGACAAATAAAACATATTATATATATATAATTCATGGTCACCAAAATAAATGGTATAACTTGCATGTGTTTCTGAAAGTTATCATTATATGTTATCAGGCGTGTACATAAAAAAATATTTTAGGAGAGGTCTGAGGTTTTATATTTTCATACTTATATAATCTATAAACCACTTTTACTCTATTCAAATATATTTAATAATTTTCCTGAATTTCGAGGTGGGTTTGAACCCATAACCCCCTCCCCCTTGCATATTATGTATGTATGTAGGTATTATAAATAATATGTAGAGTCGCTGTTTAAATATATTTTCAATTGTGAAGTATACATAAATCGTAAAAAGTACCAAAAATAACATTTAAAAATACTATGCAACTATTCAAGATTTATTTAAGATATTTTGTTTTATTATTATATATTTATAAATTTTTATGCACAGAAAAGAAATTATTATTATTATTATTATTATTATTATTATGCATTAATTTAACAAAATATCATCTTTCTAATCATTGATTTCATTGGTACATAGTTTTAATCAATAAAATTGTTATTTTATGAATATTTTAATATTTATATTTAGGTGCGACTGATTGTACTTTGCCATGGTTAGTGGATAAAAACCCATTCATATCCAAGGTTGAATCTCTTTCTATTAACAGATGTCCTTTACCTTTAATTGGCGATCAAAATAAAGAATACTGCTGTTATAATACTAATGGAGAGGTTGAATGTTGCGATTTCCAAGAATTTTTGGTTTTTGGGTTTGTATAAACCAAATATATTACCTTCCATTTACATTAAAAGTATAAATAATACATATATATATATATATATATTTTTTTTTTTCAGATTGATTTGTCTTATTCCTATTCTTATTATTCTGTTGATTATCTCATCTATACTCAGCTGCATCTGCTGTTTATGTTGTCCATGTTGCGCTATTTACAAACGTAGGCAAGCTGGCAGTAAGTAGGATTAAAAAAAAAAAAAAATGCTTATTAGATTATCAAGTTAAACCATTTACCTATATTTGAAAATACTAATATTTAATTAAAATACACATTAAAAGTTTTATTTATTGGTAGTACTAAATTTTTGTTTCATGTTTAACATATTAATAGTTATCTGATTTACAATTTTTCTATACTGTAGTATTATTTTTAGTAATAACTAAGGCTTAGAAGTTGATGCAATTTTTTTTTCGAAGATTTTAGATAATGCTCTCTTGGCCACCAATGTGTTTCATTAGCAAGTGAATCCAAATAACTAATTTTTATTTTGCATTTTTTGGTGTTTATTACTTTTTAAGTCATTTTTACTGGTTTTATACTAGTTCACTTCTTATTGTTTCTTGTTGACCTTTATGCCGACAACTTAAGATTTGTCCGATTTATTTTCGTCATTGTCGTGTTGTAGTGAATACTATTATACTTACATTTTATTATTTTTTCCTAATACTTGATTAGTATCCGATTTTATCTTGTCGATTACAGTCAATGCTTTGTTGTCATGTTATAGTGAATAATACCTATTATATTTAAATTTTATAAAATTTTTTTGTAATATTTTCGAAATAACGAAAATTAAAACGTCGGTTAGTGCTTATCTGTGCCTCCCAATCACTTCAGTGGACGTATAGAGAAGTTTTTTTAAATATTAAAATTTATGAACAGATAATCGTTGTTCATTTACTTTTAATATCAAATACGTTCGAATTGTATAATGTAATGATTTTAATTTTAGAGTAATTTGTAAGCTTTGATAAATTTATAAAACAAATATTTGTAATTTTTTTATTTCATATTTTAAGAACATTTGTTGTCATTTTTTTTTATCATATTTTAAGTAATTTATAAGTTTTGATAAATTTATATATATTGTTACAGTAAAGTAGAGTAAAATATTTAAAAATATATTTTATTAATTTAAAACAAATATTTCTAACAAATTCTTCTAGATCATTTTTTAAGAACATTTTTTGATATTTTTTACGTCATATTTATTGATTTATTAAAGATATTAATTCATTATAAAAAGAAAACATAATTATTTATTAAAAAGAAAATCACACTTGCAAAATATCTAAAAACTATAACATAACACAACACCATGACAGTTGACGCTACTAGCCTACTACTTTATAGTATACAGTATAAAAGTATAATAAAAATAACCTACAAAAACAATAAGGAATTGTCTAACTTCAATAATATTTACATTTTTTTTAGGTCATTTTTTAATGTTCTTAAGGTCATCAACTTCCGAGCTTTAGTAATAACAATTGTAATCAATTTATTCAAAATGTCTTATTTTGAATTGATTAAAGTAAAATAGGTTCATTGAATTGTATCTATATTTCTATTGTTCTTATATTGAAATCCTATTAAAAATTGTTTTTGGTTGTCCTAAAAAAATGAAGTACAAGTATTACTTAGTATTGTATAATTTTAACTATAAATAAAAATAATTTATATTTTGTTTTAAAATGTTTATCCGTATAATATTATTTTAGTAAATATTTTATCCTTATTTATTCAATTTTTCTAACGGATGTAAAGAATTTATAAAGTATATATATTATTTAGTATTCATTATTCTTAAAATTTAACAAAAATTTAATTGAGTTTGTTGGTATTTATAATTAAAATTTTATTTTTATATGGTGAAATTTCTTAAAGTGTAAAACAAAATAAGCACTCAAAACTTATTATAAATCTAAAAGTTCTTCTAAATTGATTATCATATTAGCATTCTTCTAACAAATAAAATAATTCTTAATATTTTGTGATTTCTCTTATTTTAATAATGCATGATCGTTTTTATTTATATTTGCACTTAGATTTATGTTTGAAATACTATTTTTATTAGTATTTTGCATTTGTATGAAAAAAATAATCTTTATTTACTTTTTGGCGCTTATTTATTTTGTTTTTTTAATGAATTTCTAGAAATATATTTTTTTTTAATTAAATGTTATGTATTTATAAAACTAATATTCATTACACGCACACTTATATATATATTTATTCAAACATAATCCGGCTGAGAAATTCGGTATTTTCTAAGTTAATGAACACATGGTATATGTATATACATTACATGTATATATATTAATATATTAATTTAGGGAACACCGAATTTCTCAGCCGAATTATGTTGGAATAAATCAAATTTTTTTTTTAGAAGCTAGTGGTATATAAATACACATTTTCAGATAAATTTCAAATTTTTTACCTTCTGAGTACGCACATGCGCAATGCAACTTATTATTTTTTTAATAGCAATCAGTATTTTTGATACTAAATTCAGATAGACTAAATTTTTTTTCAATTATTTTGACCAATTAACCATGGCTCTAAAACCAAAATTGTCTGGATGAGAGCCATATAAATTTTAATAAATAATACATTTTTACAATTCATTATAAAATGCATAAAACCATTTATAAGTATTTATTTTTGGTTACTTTTTGAATATTTTTACGAATTTTTTTTTTTTTATGTTTTATAAACAAGATAACATAATATGGATATAAAATTATTTAATTAAATTTGATTACAATTGTTATTTTATAACTACACAATTTAAACGGTTCTCATTCAGTAAATTTTGGTTTTAGAGTCATGGTTAATTGGTGAAAATGGCTTAAAAAAATTTAGTCTATCCGAATTTAGTATCAAAAATATCGGTTGCTATTAAAAAAAAAATAACTTGCATTGCGCATATGCGTACCGAGAGGGTTAAAAATTTGAAATTTATCTGAAAATGTGTATTTATTTACCATCAGCTTGTAACAAAAAATTTGATTTATTCCAACATAATCTGATCGAAAAATTCAGTGTTTTCTAAATTGGTGAACATTATAAGTAGGGCCAATTATGCATTTTGACATAATGGAGATTATTGAGTTAATCTTATTGCAGTTAAATTCAAAAAAAAGTCTTGTAATAAAAAAAAACCTCTGATTTAATTAAGTAAAATCGTTTTTTGAATTCTTCCATTGAATTTAAAAATTGTATGTATATGTTATAGTTAAAGTATTGAATCGGTTAATTTATGAAATAATTATAATGATATTTATTTTAAGCTGAGTTAATTATAGTTAATTATAATTATTGAAGCTTCTAGATTTGCGCAATACCTCTTTTTTTTCTGCGGATACTGCTTTGTTTTACATTTTTTGGTACGAGTACAAGTGCACTCAAATAAGACCCAATCAGTTTCTGCAGATCTTTATGTTATACTTTTATTTGAAACAATTAAAATAACAATATTGAACACTTTTGTACAATTTGACACATTAACATAGTAAGCCCTAGGGAATACAGAAAATAACTAGTTACAGTATAAATAATTTATACTTAACTTATTAATATGATTATTGTATACATTATCTACATGTTTTAAGTATTTCATAAATTAACGATTCAAAACTTTAATTGTAACTTATACATTAAAAATTGAACAATTTAATATTTTTATTTTTGAATGTTGTCATAATATGTCATTGGTCTTTCTTGAATCAAGCCATATATATATATATATTTCTGGAAATTGTATTAAAAAAATAATTATACATAGATCTTGTGATATTTTCACTTCAATTAATTAATATTAATTTTTTTAATTTCTGATTAAACTTATCTCAAATATATTGGATGTCAATATGTTAAATATGCACTTTTTATTTCACAACTAGTTATGATACAATTTTTATTATTTTCAAAACTAATTATTATTATTTATTGTTTTTTGCTTTATTAAATAATTTTATTTATTTTAATTGTTGTGAAAATGTATGTAATTGTGGTGGTTGTAGATTTTCATAATACCTTTATAGAAAAAACAATGACCACAATTTATAATGCATTTTCGCAGGTTGTGTTTAAAAATATATCACTACAGGGGTACTAATTCAATCACCTCCAGCCACTTGTGTCATTATAGAAGCTAATCCAAACACAATATCCAGTTATCAACCTTATCATGCTTCAGGTATTGTTTTAAATTTGTTTATCGAAAATATATTTTAAAGATATAATAATAAGTATTTTCTAAAGTTTGTATACTAGTCACTGATCGACTTCATACTATTGTGGTTTTAGAGTAAACATAAGTGAAAACCAGTATTTACATTATAGAACTAAATAATTAATGTATTGGTTGGAATAATTGATTGAATAATGTATATGCATAATCCGGTATTTTACATAATTCCGAAAATTACTCGGCAATATACATAATAAGAGCTTTGCCTAAGTATTATGAATGAATAATGCTGAATGTAGAGTAGGCAATATGATGAAAATAAACAAAATTGAGCATCGCCTACTACCAACAACTTTATTTATCGTTTATCATAAATGTGCGTACATGATTTAACACAATAAAGATTAAGATTCTTTTACTACTATTATAGTAATTCTGAGGTAAATATCGAACATACTAATAATTTTATTACAATATCGTTATTTTCATGTCTCGTTATGATGTTGCAACTATGAATATGATTTATATGAAGTCAAATTTTTATAATAAACTATAAATTTTTTTTAAAAATTTGGCCACTAATAGTTTTTTATCTGATGAAGAGTCTAATGAATTGATAAAAATTCAATCCACAAGAACTGGCCAATGATTTTTAAAATGTGTTTGTAAGTTCAAGTGTCAAAATAAAAAATGTATTTGCCTTAAAAATAACATTTTATGCCCTTCAAAATATTACTTTTCTACAACATGTTATAATAAATAAATGGTAGTAAAATATTTATATAATAGTAATAAATTATTACTACAGGGGCGGATTTAATAATTTTTCACCCCTATGCCAAATTAAATTTACTGCTCCTATCCAAAAAAAAAAAACTTTTAAACTCCTATTTAATAAAATATCCTCAAATAAATTTATTTTTTCAATACCTAATATGAAATTATTTTTTCATTTAAGTAAACTAAAAAAAATTCTGATTTATGATATAACATCTTCTGTTTATTTTTTTTAAAGTAACAATATTTATAAGAAAAACATAATTTAATTAATATAATAAAAATAATTAATTATTTTAATTAATAGTTAATTTTTGCAGTTTATATAGTTTTTTTTTTCTAAATTTAGTTATTGAGAAGTCATCAAAAATGTCTTCATATGCTAGTGATGACTTTAAATCACTTTATAGTTAATATAGCCAAGGAATTTAATCTTCCTTGCGAAATAGTTGATTGTAAATTATTTTTCATTCTTTTTAACACTGAAAACGAACGTTTGGTAGCAGGAGCATACCTGGGAATTTTTTTTGGGAGGGGAGTCCAAAATTTTTATTATATTTGATAACGGAAAATTAAAATACACTATATACTATTATTATACTATTTACTATTAAATCATTAAGTAGGTATGTAGAAATTTCATGGGGGGGTCTGGACCCGAAATATCTCCCCTTGGGTACGCCCTTGTTTGGCAATACAATTAGTAGCTGGTGTTGATACAAATATTCGAAGGGCAATTTCAGTATTTTGATATAGATCTTTCACATTACGTTCATAAATTACAATCAGTGGCAGAAATAGATTCTTGGAGGCCCGTGTAAAAAATTTGCGTGACGAATTTCTAAGCCAGAATTTAAAAAAAAGAACTAAGCATTTTGTTTTTCTCACGTAACATCTTAATTCTTTAATATATATATAGGTAAATATTGAAATTAAGTTGTGAATATTTATTTTCGACATTGGTTTTATGCATAAGTATTGATCAATGCCGACATATTTTATTTTTTTACACGTTTTCAATAGATATCATGGTCAAACCACTTGGACGTGTTTGAGACATAGTGTTTCTGAGGTAGCTTTTTATTGACTTCAGCTTTGAAAACGATCTCTCAGCACTGATTACAGATACTAGTAAAGTGAGAAATTAATAAAATGCCTTTAGTAATTTTGGGGAGTTATAAGATTATTATTTTCAACGACTTACAATTTAGTTACATTGGATAATGCTTTAAACTAAAAAGCAAATAAAAGATTTGATTTGATTGGTTAATTCTGCCGAATTAAATGTCAGCAGGATACAAATTACAAGCAATAATTTATTTATGTGATAAAATTATTATTCTGCATTAGTATAGTTGTAACTCCTTTTTTTTTTCTAGGATATTTTATTTAAAACGAATAAATGCATTAATACCTACCTATCTTCACATTATACTAAGATCAAATAACTAATTGATCATGCTAGATTACTATTATTCTGAACCACCATAACTAATTATGCAATGGTTTACTTACAAAAATAAATGGAAAGCCAAAAACTAAAAATAAACTTTTATGAGGTTTTTAGTTAAATTTTTTAAATTTTATTGCTTATAATTTTCTAAGTTAAATCGTTTGAGGGGCCTCTCTTATGCCGAGGTCCGTGTGAAATCACACCTTTATCTATATGTAGCTCCGCCACTGCAAGCAATAGTAATAATGTTGTATTTTTCTTTCATTAAATCTTTTAATTTGATGAGAACGAAAATGTAGTAGTTCAATAATAAATTCATTTTTTTCTAAGTCTGATTTATAAATGCAGCATAACTCATTTGCTTTAATCATTATTTCAGAGTTTTCCAATTTATGAAGTTTAGTAAAGAAATCAAACAGTTAGCAGAATGATTCATATTCTTTTCGTCTAATACTCAATTCAGTTGCTAATCTATCAAGTATAACATAGAATGTATTAATTTTAAAATTATCTTTCGCTGATATTTCTACTTGTCCATCTCGGGTTTCGTCATGGGGAGTTGTTTTTTTTCTTTTTATAGATTTTTATTCTAGTATTACGAGACATTTCATAAACAATAAGATAAGCTATAATAAAATATAATCGTCTTTGTTGTAGACGAGTTCCTGGGAAAATATAAATATTAGTTTACTAAAAATAAACGAATTCAAAATACACAATTTAAAGATTTTGAAGTGATGGATAACATTTTAAAAATTATGTTTTATATACATTACCTAAAATGGGTCGGAAATTTTCATAATGCCTAGACATTTTGCAAAATACCTGAATTATCCATATTGCTGGTGTCATACATAGTAAAAGAAAATTTTGATTATGATTTTATTATTAGGTTATTATTATTTACTGTTTTGTAAAAATAATGTTATAGAACTCTTAGTTTTATATCAAATTTAAAAAATGCAAGTAAAATCTATAACAAGGTGTTAAGATTTTAAATTTAGTTTATATAGTTTATATAGATGTTCATAGTTTGGTAACATGTACATTCAAGTTTTGAGAGTAAGTTGTATAAATATGAGATAAAAGAAATGTTAAATTTAAGTTTTTAGCTATTATATAGATAATTAATTAATTAATAATAATATATATATTTATTATATTGATAATTAATTGAAGTATGCACTAAGTACTGTATGTAAAAAAATATTGAATTAAATATTAATATATATATTATCAATAAAATAATTACAATGATAGACTAAGGTTAGTGTCGAATAAAAATCTGAAAAAAATAATTACCTAAGTTTATGCAATATACCATAAAATATTTGTAATTATTTTCTGTCAATTTATTGTATTTTATTTATGTTTCAGCTTCATCTGATTCTTCGCCTTTGATATCAAATAAGTACCCATAATAAATATTTTAATTTAAATAAGTGTTTTTTGTCTTATATATATATAAAAAAAAAAAATCCGCAGTTAGTAAGGACTACTAGTTTTATAGGTTACAAACAATTATGTTTAACTCATATAACTAACTATAATTATGGTTCAAAATATAATGTGGTTATTTTTTATAATGTATTTTTGATAGATTATTTAGATTTAGATTGTTTCATGAAATTACTTGTTTACATTAAATTGCATACTCTAATATTAAAGAATAAAATTATAATTTTTTACCAATATTTTCTATTATTTATTATCTGTATTTAAAACAATATATAATTGTATTTATCAAAACAAAAATGTTACTTATACTAATAATTACATTGTAATACTTAATGTTAAAGATATGAAACATAAAGTAGTTATCAATAATATATATTTTTGGGTAATTAAAATATATAATAGATATAATGTTAAGTACAAAAAATAATTTTTTGGCATTAGATTGTATAGTATATATACTTAATAATTTTGTATCAATATAATAATAAGAACTTTCAGTATAAATTATTTTTAATAAGATTGCTTATAAAGCCTGTGCCAAATACATTTAAAATAGTCTGGATGTCAATTACATTTTATTTTGCTATACAAAGTTTGTAACATATTATGTATTACATTTTTTTTATCAGTTAATTGTTTAACTTATTCATTTTTGCTATTTTATGAATAAAATTAGTAGGTATTATATTCTACTGATAATAATATTTTATTATTTTTTTATTATTAATAATTAATAAATTACACAAAAAAAATATATATAAAAAAGATATTTTAAATATGTGTTACATTTATACTTAAATTTAAGCTCTTATGAATACTAATATATGAAGGGATCGCATGAATAATATTAAAAGCATAAGTTAACTTTTGTCATAAATTAGGTTTAAGAACTTCTAGCATTTGCATAATTTTGTTAATTATTGTTAAAAATAGCAGAGTGTGAAATAAATTAATTTCCTTGTGCCATATCAGATATAAAATTTGAGTGTGCATATTTTTGCATATTTTGCGTTTTTTAGTTTATAGTGCTTTTTTTTGGATTTTTTGAGATTTTTGTCTTTTACCTATGTTTTAATCAAAATCGGGCATATTTTATGAAATTGTATTTTGGTAAACTTGTTTTTTGATTTTTGTTAATCGAATTTTCAAGATTCAAAATTTTAAATTTAATTATAAATATCTAGATTAAGTAAATAGACCGATTACGCTGATGCAACTCTGTACAATTACAGCGATAATATATAGGTAGGTATAATATAATAAATAATTTCGTTATAGTTATTTGGTTCTAATTTTTATTATCTGCTGATTTTGTTGGTTTTTTTTTGTCGATTTCTACTAAATCTACTAATAGCCGATTATCAATGAACGAGTGTAGAATTCGCTTTATACAGTCCACATTCATCTCGCGTGCTCGTATAAAATTAAATAGTAAATTTCCTTTTTCCTTTATTGTACGTGCTTAAGTCTACACGGCATCCATGCCGAAATCTTACCATACACGTCCGAATTAAACACCGGATCTTTTACGGATGAAAGAGGGTGCTTAGCTCGATTAATACAATTTATATGATTGTTACAACAAATGTAATTATAATAATAATATAAAAACATGTGTCGTGGACGTATTAACAAAAAAATTAGATACAATTAAGTAATAATAATAATAATAATACATACAATAAGCCACTACGGCACGATAATTTACTAAAATATGGCACAAAAAAAAAGGCGATATAATAAAATCAAGACGCCACACGTTACAAGGTGCGACGATAGTGTACCTTTAGACGGCTGGGTGTTCGATTGGTTGCGACCGCGCTTAGCACGTGTGACGAACACTAGAGCCGATGGTCGACTTCTTCGACAGCAAAATGTAATTTGTTCACGGATAGAGCCAGCAATCCTGTGTACAGCAAACTGTTACTGGTTCTCAGCATCCGAATGTCGACTACAAAAATGAGTACGCAATGTGGTCGCACAGCAAAACCGCATTGAAAGTTGCAGGCGTACTAACTAGCATTTCGGCGACGAAGTGGATTTTTTCCGGTCCGACCATAATAAAGGTGGTGATAGAATGTTCTCGAAAGAACCATATATCCACGCCACAGGTCAAACCGGTCGGTGTACGACAAAGTTTATAATTTGAAAATTTTTGCGCGAACACATATTTTTAGAGGTTATTTAGCGATTTTTAAGGTAATATTATTGCGCATATTTATGCAATTTTAAGTTCTATTAAATCCCAACCCTGGTTATAACTATATTTATACATATTTTAACTGACCGAAAAAAAATATATATGCTATCTAGAAACTACCACTTATAATTTTTGTGTAGGTATAAATAATTCTATAAACCCGTATCGACCGTTTAAAGGGGTCCAATAGGTCAGCGTGTCGTGGACCGGTGGGAGGCACGACGCACAATTTATAACAATAATAATAAAAATACAGCAAGTAGCCGGGTGTGCGGTGGAAATGGCTGGTGGGCCGTATATTTGATTAATACACAGAAATAATAATAATATAATAATAAACAATGTCAGGCGCAATGTAATGAACACACCGAATGTAATAATAATAATAAAAAAAAAGTCGTCTTGTGGCTTTTATGTGCGAAGTGACGTGCGAATAGTATACACAAAAAAAAAGCGATGTGATCGGACGAGAAGTTGACGAACAACGCTCATCGTTCCGCCGACACTTGTCTTCGGCGGTGCCGATGCCCCGCTCTCCCCGCTCCTGAAGGAAGGTGCGAGGTGCGACGCGTCGGTATCGTGATCCGCGAACTATCGGCTGATTAGACTATAAATACAGTCGGCGGCGTCCGTTGTGGTGAACGGCCGTCGCCGGGTCCGCGTCATACTCCCCCGCCTAGCCGATAGTCGCGGGCGAAGTCCAGCCGCGGTGTGCGTGGTATTTGGTACGCCTTGGTTGCGGAGTTTTCCATAGACGTCTGAACTATGGAGCTGGGTCATTTGGTAAACTTTTCCTGTTTGTATTTTCCCCACCTTGCTTTTCCGATCCGTCAGGTGTACGGGTGGTCCGAGTGTTCCAGCCGAGGCGCGCGTTCCGGTCCCTCACGGGAAGGTTCGCGCCCGGCGGTACTTGGGTACTGCTTAGTGGGGATAGGGGGGAAGGTGGGAGAGTTCGGAGTGGAATTGCTTAGAACTCCAGTTCTGCGGCCGTACGTACGGATGGTCCCTCGGCATAGAGGATTCCGTCCGAGAGTGTGTCCTCGGCTGGTCTAGTCCCCTGTGCGGTGGGTTGGTCGGCGTGGTCATCGACCTCCATCGCTGTCCCTTGACCCGGTTCGTGATGGATTTGGGATGGCGGTAGCGGTGCGGGCGTCTTCCGAAGGCGGAACTGTTGGCTTCCGCCGTCGGTTGCTGCTGCCTTCCGTTCCCTTTGTTCGCGCCGTTTCCTCCTCACGAACTCCTTCCATCGGGCCTTGTCGCGCTCCTTCTGAGCTCTTCCCTTTGTGACGTTTGGTGTTCCCTCCGTTGCCGGAACCGTCGGGAGAGCTGGGTCTGGTGGTGGTGCGATGGTGATCCTCGGCGGCCACGGCTCCAACGGGCCCGGTGTTGGTTTTCTTGTTGGTGACGGGTAGTGTGGGCGAGGTCCTTTGATGACGAGCCCTGTCCACTCCGTCGTCTCTGGGTGAGGGTCCACGTTTCTCGCCAACGTTTTTATGGCGAGCGCCATCTGCCGACCGGCCACCATCTGCCATGGTGCGGTGTCGGCGATTGTTGGCCGCGTACGTTCGACGGGTGTTGTAGGGGCGCGTCGGTTGCTGCTGGCTGGTTCCGCTGTCCGATTTATTGTGACCGATGTTGGAGCGTGGCGCGATGGAGGACCATGTTCCGGTGCCGCTGTCCTCGGACGGTTTTCGACGGCCAGTTTCGGTATACGGCGCGTCGACTGTGCCCGTCGACCGCGCGTACCACCGTCCACCACTTTTTCCGCCGATCATCTGAATCAACTTTGCCGACAGGTCCTGCTGGCCCCGCTCGTATGCCGCTCGCAGGAATGGATCGGCCAGGAGCTGTGGCATCGTAGCCCTGCGGACTTCTCCGGATGTCAGCTGGTGACTCCCGCGTCTGTCCATGGTATCTAGGGGTCAAAAAATAGTTAGTTTTTGTGTTTGCGCGTTTTAGGCACGATACATGGATTTTCCGGGGTGGTTGCTGGTTGGTTAGAAATACCCCTTTTCCGACCTCACTGGACCCCACCATTTTGGGGCAAATCCAGCATGGAATCCATGACTCGCTTTCGACAGGTGCACAGTGGTCTGTATTGTAAATTAGCTTGTCAAAACCTATTTTTAAAAGTACGATTATTGTATTATTTGATATCAAATTATAAAAACTGATTACTTAATTGAACAATATTTAACAATATTATGAGAAACTTTTATATCTTATCAAGCCAATAAAATTACGATTAGGGAACAGAAATGTCGATCAACGAGGCCATACCACGCATTATTCTGTCTTTCACGTTTAGCGATCTGTGCGGTGTGCATGTACTTAAGTTATAATTTTTCTTTATGAAACCTAAAGTATGAACATTTTTGCAGAAGGTAAGTGTATTAATAATATTATTTTAATGTTTTATATGACGTAGTTGATACAACGATATTTTATTATTATGGTTAATTGTTATTATTAGAACTTCAAAAGGTATCACTAATAATTTACTAATTATTACTGTTACAAAACTATTCTGTAATATTCTACATACTCTTGAGTGTTTAACCTAATATAATTTTTTTGCGTATACTTGCGTATTAACTAAGCATAATTTTTTCAAATGTGTAATATCTTGTTAGAAAATTTAGGAAAAAAAAAGCCGTTTCAATAATAATATTTTATTTTTATTTATTTTATTTTAGCGAGTTGTCGTGATTTAAGAAATCAGAATCTCACTTACAATGATTTATTTAATTTATTACGGGGAAATGGACAACTAAATCCCCAGTCCAAACAGTCTAGAGAATTTTTGTTTAAAAAGTTATGTGAGAAGTATGATGAAAAAAATTGGATGCTTGAGTACACAAATAAAATAAATGCTGGCAAAAATAGTTATACGATAGTTTTATCACGAAAATGGATACAATGTAATAGAAATATTCACATTTTTAATAAAAATAACAGTGCATGGTTAATCAGAAATAAAAATTCAAGAATAAACACAAACAAAGACCTCTTACATGTGTTATTAATATACCTACGTTCGTACGTTAAGAGCACATCGAATGATGTAGTATTTGTGAATATAAGATTAATTAAAAAAAATTTTCATATATGACGTATTTAGATTTGTCGCGAACTAAAATCTCTCTAAAATCGTTATTTATCAACAATAGTGGAATTTTCTTTCATATCTACGTTCGTATGTTTAGAGAGCATTGAATGATGTAGTATTTGTAAATATGAGATTCATTAAAATAAAATTTCATTTATGACCTAATCAGATTTGTCGCAAACTAAAATCTCTCTAAAATCGTTATTTATCA